CATGAAATGAGGTCGAAGTCAGGTTAACCCTTCCTGACAGACATGTAGATGTTGCACAGAACCCATATACCAAATATAGTTATCCTGTTACTCATAATAAGTGAGTATTTCACTTGACAAAAAAAATTAAATTTTTGTTCAAGTAGTCACTGAACCATGAAAATGAGGTCAAGAACAATGGACATATGACAGACTGAAACTTCGTAACATAAGGAATCTGTATACAAGGTATAAAGCATCCAGGTCTTGCATCTTCTGAAATATAAAGCTTTATACAAATAGTTTACGCCGTCGTCACTGGTTGATTGTAATACCTATGTCTCAAATTCTGCAACTTTCGTCCCGGGTGAGACAAAAACAATTGTCATATGTAAAATTAGCAAGTAGTTATATGAATGTAATCTTTAAGCTCTCTAAAAGTAATCATGATTATACCTTTTTTTTTAGCTTACTTGCAAGTTAGATTTTCTCATCACTTGGCGTCTGTCGTGTCGTCACTACTTTTACAAAAATCTTCTCTTAAACTACTAAAATAGAACCTAGGGGTAAAATGCAAGTTTTTGTCTATTATTTTGAAAACCACTATAAATAGTGAAATTCTGATGGGAGCAAAAATGTTCAAAATGTTGAGCTCTAACTATTGTCCATTTAAGTCTAAACTGTCAGACGACTTCTTATAGGAGTTATTGCCCTTAAGCGATGAATATTTCCATTTTAAACATTTGTTCCTTATTATCTCAAAAAATTTAATAGATGTGATCAGCAAGACAAGATCTACAAATAAGTCAAAAGGACCACAATCGTCAGATGACTCCTTATTAGAGTTATTGCCCTTTAATGACAACTTTTACTATTTTTATGTTTTTTGGTCTATACCTTAAAAACTACAATAGATAGATAGAAACGTAAAAAAGCAAAAATGATCATTAAGACAAGATCTACAAATAAGTCAAACATGATCAAAATTGAAAGTCAACTCCTTATTGAAGTTATTGCCCTTTTATGACGATTTTTCACATTTTTGCCTATTATCTTGAAACTGTAATAGATAGATAGAAACTTTAGATAGCACTAATGATCAGCAAGACAAGATCTACAAATAAGCCATTATGTTCGAAATCTTCAGTCAACGTGCTATTAGAGTTATTGCCTTTTAATGATATTATTTTACATTTTTTGCATTTTTTGCCAATTATCTTGAAAACTATAATAGAAAGATAGAAACTTCAGAAAGGAAAAATGATCAGCAGGATAAGATCTATAAAATAAATATGTCAACATGACTGAAATCCTCAGTTAACTCTGAATAGAGTTGTTCCCCTTTAATGATGATTTTTACTAAATAGTGGCCATTGTTGAAGATGCAGGTGAGCAACACAGGCTCTTTAGAGACCCTAGTTTGCATTTTAATCAATTACATTACGATTACTTGTAATCAGAAAATGCATGAATACTGATTACATGTGATTACACTGCAAAATGTAATCCATTATAGCTAATTACAATTACTGATTATGATTACCCCATGCCTAGTACATGTCAACTGCCATATGATGGAAACTTAAAGACCATTAGTCATCTACATACAAAATATGGCTTAACTCTCTTTTTCTTTCTAATTTATTAAACTTTATGCAAGTATTTAATGCAATTGTCAATGCCATGGCACCAGATTAACATCCCTGTGTCTTGATGTCTGTGACTTATTGCAGTGAGACAAAAATGAACAATAAAATCTGATTATAATGTCTGTTTAACATTAAAGCTACAGTAGTAAAAGCACTATTTTTGGCAATTTTTTTTCAAAATAGATGGAGTTAGGATCAATACAAAATCACTACAAATTATTATTTTAGCCAAATGACAGTCTTAAAAAAAATAAAATTGGCCAACAAGAGCAAAAAAGTAATCAGAAGAAAACAATTGCATCCAAGGGATAACAGACAATCAAAATGACCCTAATAACATACATTTTACAATCCATATAAAATGCTTCGCTGGGGCGCAGCTTGATACGACCGCAGAGGTCGAACCCTGAACAGTTGGGGCAAGTATGGACACAACATTCAAGCTTGATACAGCTCTGAATTTGGATTGTTATTAAATATTTGACACAGCATAGGTTTCTGACACAGAAAGAATGTGGTCTAAGAACTTGAATTTTTTTAATTTACCTATTATGGTCCAATGTCCAAAATCAAAATACATGGTTAGATTCAGCATATCAAAGAACCCCATATATTCAATTTTTGTTAAAATCAAACAAAGTTTAATTTTGGACCCCAACTTGAACAAACTTGAAAACTGGGCCCATAATAAAAAATCTAAATACATGTTTAGATTCAGCATATCAAAGAACCCCAAGAATTCAATTTTTGCTAAAATCAAACTAAGTTTAATTTTGGACCCTTTGGACCTTAATGTAGACTAATTTAAAAAACAGGACTTAAAATTAAAAATCTAAATACACGGTTAGATTTGGAATATCAAAGAACCCCAATAATTCAATTTTTGATGAAATCAAACAAAGTTTAATTTTGGACCCTTTTGACCTCAATATGAACCAATTTGATAGCGGGGCCCACAAATAAAAAATCTAAATTCATGGTTAGATTCAGCATATCAAAGAACCCCATATATTCAATTTTTGTTGAAATCAAAAAAAGTATAATTTTGGACCCCAACTTGGACCAACTTGAAAACTGGGCCCATAATCAAAAATCTAAACACATGTTTAGATTCAGCATATCAAAGAACCCCAAGAATTCAATTTTTGTTAAAATCAACCTAAGTTTAATTTTGGACCCTTTGGACCTCAATGAAGACCAATTTAAAAAACGGGACCCAAATTAAAAATCTAAAAACACGGTTAGATTTGGCATATCAAAGAACCCCAATAATTCAATTTTCGATGAAATCAAACAAAGTTTAATTTTGGACCCTTTTGACCTCAATATGAACCAATTTGATAGCGGGGCCTACAAATAAAAAATCTAAATACATGGTTAGATTCAGCATATCAAATAATCCAAAGAATTCAATTTTTGTTGAAATCAAACAAAGTTTAATTTTGGACCCCAATTTGGACCAACTTGAAAACTGGGCCCATAATCAAAAATCTAAATACATGTTTAGATTCAGCATATCAAAGAACCCCATATATTCAATTTTTGTTGAAATCAAACAAAGTTTAATTTTGGACCCTTTGGACATTAATGTAGACCAATTTGAAAACTGGACCCAAAATTAAAAATCTAAATACACTGTTAGATTTGGAATATCAAAGAACCCCAATAATTCAATTTTAGATGAAATCAAACAAAGTTTAATTTTGGACCCTTTTGACCTCAATATGAACCAATTAGATAAGGAGGTCCACAAATAAAAAATCTAAATACATGGTTAGATTCAGCATATCAAAGAACCCCATATATTCAATTTTTGTTGAAATCAAACAAAGTTTAATTTTGGACCCCAATTTGGACCAACTTGAAAACTGGGCCAAAAATCAAAAATCTAAATACATGTTTAGATTCAGCATATCAAAGAACCTCATATATTCAATTTTTGCTAAAATCAAACAAAGTTTAATTTTGGACCCTTTGGACATTAATGTAGACCAATTTGAAAACTGGACCCAAAATTAAAAATCTAAATACACTGTTAGATTCGGCATAACAAATAAATAAATGTGATCAAAGATTTTACAAATCTAATGCGCCATACTGTGCAATTAAAGATTACTTCTTGAAATTTTTCAATATTTGAAATTTGAAAAAAAAATAATATTTGAAGAATAATTCTTTTTAATTTCTGAAATCTGAAATGAGAAAAAATTGGCCCCCCACAATTTCTTTTTATCCCCCCCCCCCTTTTTCCCCCAAAAAAATTCTTTCCCTCAAGATATGGTCATAATCTCAATTCAAATTTCCAATGGAGTTGGCAACCATAATTACCCATTTAAATTTACCATAGTGCTAACTTAATCTATTTTATAATAGAATTAATAAAAATATAGTGTCAAATCTTTCATATGGATTTTTTTGTAAAAAAAAAAGATAAACATTTGCAGATATTTTTACTGGTCTTCCTTTATAAATATGCATTTCTTTAAACATAATTTAAAAGCAGTGTAAGGGAAGTAACCAAAACGTTGTATTTGGATTACCTCCCTTACACTGTTTTAAATTATCTTTATTGTTCATTAACCATTACTTTATACATAATTTAAAAGCAGTGTAAGGGAGATAATTTCAATGATGTATTTGATTTATCTCCCTTACACTGCTTTAAATTATGTTTTGTACTAAAGTATTTGTCCATTAACCAGGACAACCTTGTTTTTCCCCCTTTTTTGTCCCTAATTCCTAAACGGTTTGAGCCATAACCCCCCAAAGCAAATCCTAACCATCCCTTTGTGGTATGGAAACTTGTAGTATAATTTCAGAGAGATCCATACACCGTTCCACAGTTATTGTCTGGAAACTAGAAAATGCTCATTTTTGGCCCCTTTTTGGCCCCTAATTCCTTAACTGTTGGTACCATAACCCCCAAAATCAATCCCAACCTTCCTTTTGTGGTATTTAACCTTATGGTCAAATTTCAAAAAGATCCATTCACTTAAACTAAAGTTAGAGTGCGAAAACCAATATATATTCGGACGACGACGCCGGACAACGACGACGACGACGCCAACGTCATACCAATATACGACCACAAAATTTTTTTGCGGTCGTATAAAAATGTGACAATAATAGAATAAAGGACAAATGGCACAATTTTTAAATATTCCAATATAGTGATTAGCATAATCCCCAAATCTGCAAACAAAATTAGCAAATGCTGTAGACATAAATAAGAAGTTCAGTATCTGTATTAATAGCACATGCCAGCACTGATTAGGACTTTTCATAGTAGAGTGTATTTTTTTACTAAATAAAGCCAACTTTACATAACCATGAAAACAAACATGTATATATGTAGATATATTGAAAACAACATTAATTTTGAGACTTTTTTTTATAAAACATAGATAAATATACAATAGAATGATCTGTCACACAAGTTCACCACAGTTAGCAATTTTAATTTTCTTTGATACTGTCCCTCCTTTGCTACCACAGGCCTGAAATATAAATAACATTATCTGATATAAATAGAAATCACAGCAAAATATTCTATCAATAAGAGAGCAAACACAACAATAAATTAACTATTTACCAACTTTTGGATAAATTATTGAAATATTGTAATAAGTGGAACATTGAAGTTAATACTGACAAAACGAAAATTGTTGTATTTAGAAATGGATGGCAACCAGTAAGTGTCAAATTTTTCTACGACAATAAAGAGCTACAAATAGTAAATTTTTATAATTATCTTGGTATGCTGTTTTATTTTAATGGAAAATTCATACAAACCCAGAAACGTGTGTCTCAACAGGGTTCACGAGCTTTATCGTCATTGTTAAACTCAGTCAAAGATTTGTACTTGTCAAAGAAGAAACAACTTAATCTATTTTACAGTATGGTGGCATCTGTTCTTAATTATGCTTCGAAAATATGGGGTTTCAAACTTTCAATCGAGGTAAAGAGGTTGAGATTATTCATAACAGTTTTTGTTGCTACATTTTAAAAGTTAGCAAAACTGTGCCCAATTATTTTTTATAAGAGAATTGGGCCATTTTCTTATGTATGTTATGAGAAAATTTAGAATTCTTAAATACGGGTTGAATATTTTAACTAAGAAAACACCAATTGTTTATGATGTTTATAAATTGTTACTTCAAGATGCCAATAATGGCAAAAAAAATTGGGCTTCTAATCATTATTTTTCTAATGTACGTGATTTTTTATTTGATAGTGGTCTAAATTATATATGGTATTAACAGTCAGAAATAAATACTAATGTATCTATTGATGTTATTAAGAATAGAATTTAAGATCAGTATATACAAAGCTGGTTAGCATCTGTAGAAAGGAGCAAAAAACTTAGTATTTATAAAAATATTAAGTTTGAATTTGGGTTTGAAGATGATTTAGATTACTGTTATAATTCACGCTTTTTAACTAAATTGTGTAGTGGTACACTAAAGTTGAACATTGAAACAGGAAGATATACTGACATGGCTAGAGAATTACGTTTATGTAAATGTTGTAATATGCAGTGTGTTGAAAACGAATACCACTTTTTATTAGTATTACCCTGCCAATAGATCAATTAGGCCTAAATTTTTGCCAAATTTATTGTTCTTGGCCAAACAATACTAAATTACAGTATTTATTTCAATTTACGTCTGTTTTACTTTTAAAGAAATTGTGTAATTACATAAAATCTGCGTGGTCAATCAGATCACATATTGTTACTTAATGTTATTTGTTTTCTTATTATGCTTTTTATGTATTGCTCTCTGCTGTTTATCATTTGTCATGTTGTAAATATGTTTTCGTTGCTATAGCATATATAATGCTTTCTGCAATAAAGTATTCACATTCATTCATTCATTCAATTTCAAAAGATAACCAACTGATCACATTTTTGGTCCTGTTGTTAAAATAATTTTTGTAATCACCAAACACCAGAAAAAATAAAGTGTTAACACAGAGATATGTCTCGCCTTTATGTTATTTTGACAATAAAATGCAAATGCTGAAATTTAAAATTGCAATACTTTAACATGTAAGTTATGCAAAAGTTTAAAGGTCAATGAACCATGACTGAAGGTACAGGGCCTAATAATCTCCATGGAATGAGATGTGCCAATGCTAATACAACTGCATTCCAAATATCATTGACCTACCACTAGTGGTTTCTCATAAACTGACCTAATCACAAACTAAGACATGTTAACTAAGCAAAACTTTCAAAGTCAATAAACCATGACTGGGAAGGCGAGGCAAAATAATCTCCATGGAAATGAGATGTACCAATGCAAATACAACTGCATACTAAATACAACTGATTTACCGCTAGTGGTTCCTCATAAAATGACCTAATCACAAACTAATACATTGTTGACGCCGACGCCGGAAACAGCATACCTATTATCGTTTTTTGACTCTGTCAAGGCTAGACAACAATTGGACTCTAATGTAGTCATTTTTGGAATTTGTGTGTTGTTGGGCTGCTGTTTCATTGCTAACTGATTACTGTAAGTTCAGAAATTAGTGTGTGCATTTATTATTGTGATTGACAAACAACAATAAACAGAAAAAAAGTGAGATTAATTATTGAGATTTTAGGACATGGTGCATACAAATTATACTATCAAAATGTAAAATGAAAGTTTTTATTTTTGTGTGTATTTTGGTTAACTTTAATCAAAGCTTCTATTCACAATTAATAATCATTATAATGGCAAAACATGATGGGCTGGAATAGGATTCAAATCTACTTTTTTAGCCTGAATATTATCTTTAAAGATAAGAAGTAAAATACCTCTAATTTTCTTACAACATCCATGCCTTGTACTACTTTCCCAAATACCACATGTTTACCATCCAACCTATAATTATGAAAAATTCATATGAATAAGTTCTGCACTCATTTAAAGTTAAAGTTAATACATATAACCATCAGTGCATAAAAATGGTGAAATCTTTCTATAGCTTTATAACACAACAGGAAGTACAAAATACTCTCAATTTCTTTTCATATAAATGTCATACTAATATGGTTTACATATAAGTAGAGGTTTATCATATAAATATAAATAAACTATTGAGATTTGTAGTCTCTATCAATTTGAATTATCTTACCTGGTTCCATAGATTGGTCATTAGTTATATACATATCATGTACTAAGTGAATATATTGATATATAATATAAGAATTATGAAGTACTGAAATATCTGCCTGGAAGAGTTATCTTCCTTATGTAAAACTTCATGAAATACACACTTAAATGTAACTGTAGTTTATTTAAAGAGTTATATTATTACTTACCTCATTGGTAGAGTTTGAATTGTCTTGTTGACAATTCTAAAGATGATTTGTTGCAAATATATAGTAATGCAGACAGATTGCTATGCATGTTTCTTTGTAATTGATTGATACGTATGTGTCACATCTATTGTATTTTATGTTATTTATAGTATTTAATACTTGTAATTGTTATTTTATAGGGCACTGATATGGTGAATATTTAAAATAAAGATTATACAAAAGAACCTTAGCCTTTGTGGTTTATGTCCATATTGGAAATTCACAACTGTAACATTTTCATGAACTGGTGTAACTTAGGTCTGATCCAGGTTTCTAGGAAAGCGGGCGTTATTGTCTGTTTTAGAAAAAAGAGTGTGGTGTGTAGCAAGGCAAAGATTTTTGGAAGAATTTATGCACCAACCTCAATCGGCCATGTATCTTACATGTATAAAGTTAAAATTGTCTTGTTTAATCTATAATTTAAATATGATAGAATAATATAACAAGTCAGAAAAAGAATAATTATTGCTTACCAATCTGTTTTCTCTGTACATATGAAGAATTGTGAACCATTTGTGTTAGGACCAGAGTTTGCCATTGATAATGTCCCTACAATAGCAAAACATTTGTGTTCAATAAACCATTTCATATCAAAACTAGACTCTAGTATGCACCTACACAGCACTTGTTGATATTTTTATACAATATATCTTTTAATTTACTAACAACTTGTCAATATACTCAAAGAGGTGTATGGTTGAGTACCTGCTTAACTTGGATTGAAGCCAGTATGATGACATCTTGATGCTATTTTTTGGTAACTTTCTGTTTTGAAGTTGCTGTCACATTAATGTTCTCTTTTTTTTATACATATAATAGTGATTTTGTGCACTTGTCTTTGTTAAAGAAAAGAAATTCAGGAGAGGACATGTTTTAACTGTAACTCTATTATTGAAGATGAACTTCATGTCAATTTAAAATGCCCATTATATGTAGATTAAAGACAAATCATGATACATGAAGCTATACGTTTTAATGAACGTTTTAACCTACTATATCAGATAGTGAAAAATTTATATTTTTATCTAATAATGAGAATTTTGCTACTGTAGTTGCCAAAACCTGCAACAACATTTTATTGAGAAGAAACAGTATTTTATTTCACTAGTTTTAAAAGAAACAAAATGTTTTACATACATGTAGTATAGATAGACATTGTAAATTTCAAATGTAAATGTGTAACAATGTTTGTATATTGTATATATATTGTGTCATGAAAGTCTCTCATAAATCTTTTAGTATTGGTGCATACTTTGCAAATGTTTTAACTGTTTTATGTTATTCTGTGAATCTTATTTTATGTTTGTATGTGGTGAGACTATAATAAAAAAATGAACTGAAATTTGTATTAAAGTTTTACTTGGTGTCCAAAAGAAGATTTTCAAAACATTATTTTTCAACATATCATCCAAAGTTAGTCTACTTAAAACATGAATACAATTTTAATATGTAACTATTACTTACCAGGTGCTGTATGTTTTAATATAAAATTTTCATCCTCAAATTTTTTACCATATATAGACTTTCCACCTGTACCATTATGGTTTGTAAAATCTCCTCCCTGACACATCTGATTACAGGTTGTTACGGAAATTAACATGTCTGTGTGATTTTTTTAATCTAAATGTCCTTTACAGTGAGAAAAATGCAAGATCTATGTGTATTGCTAAGTAGAGAACAAGTGTTCATCTAAATATAAATCTCAAGCTAAAATATATAAAAATCCTTGTTCATTATTCAAAGAAAAAGAAGGATGCAGGTTAAAATGATGGTATACCAGACAGAAATAATTTATGAAAATAGATAAAACAAAATGTAATTTGAGAATGTATAAAGAAACAGTTGTGGCATTTGAAACTGTAAAAATACTAATGATTTAAGCTTGACCTTTAACAACTATCAACAATTTTAAAAACACACTGAAGGATACAAATTGTGGTATAACTCTGTGAAAACTTGATCCTTTGTATCCAAAGCCTTTTTCATGTGTACATAAACATCTGAAGTTTTCTGAAAAAAGAGAGGAAAGATTTTGTAAATAATATTTATTGATAAGAAAATAAGAGCTTTCTTGAATGTAGCATTTGCTACATGATAAAAAAAAATGCCAAAAATTTTATTGAAAATAAAGTTATTTTTTCTTTTTGCAATTCATGTTTAAAAAAGGGATGCAAAAATTCATTTTTTGTTGTTGACGCATAAACCTGTTAACTATTCAGTGATATTTATCCTTTATGGAGCCCAGTGAGGATAACATCAAGAATGTGCTGTATTGTTTTTTGCACTATTGATTTATTTTGAATTTACATTTTATTGACATGTTTATTTTGAATATTCTACTGACTAAACTTAAATTCATATGGTTATTTATTGTTTGCTGCATGTTATACATAGTGCAAGATAATATTTGTTGAAACTTTTTTGTTGATTGGTGAAAAATAGCTTGCACACTCCCATCAATGTACACTTGCTTAACATAAATGATCCTTCTCATAGAAAAGCAATAATTTGAAACTTTAATTACCATTATGTGATTGATCAATAGTCTAATTAACAAAGAAAATTCTTGAAATGGTGATAAATTATCATAAATGCATAATCTATGGATTTCCTAATATCTATTTATAATGAATATAATATTTCTTTTAAAGCTTTACTGTTATTTACATACCAGCTGTGACTGGAACTACATCAGCCCTCAGTTCTATAGAAATTCTACCAACATCTTTATTGTTTATATTAATATCAAAGAACACTTGTGGATTTCCTTTGCTTCTTTTGGCTGGTGATGCATTCTGTAAAATATTCAGTCCTATCATGGTAGAGATGACAACCGTTGATTGTAACTGATTCGTTACTTTAAAAAATAACATCATTTAAAAAATTTTGCTTTGTTTCTCTGATTAGAAAAAACAATTTGTGAAAATGACAGCCAAGTTAACACATTTAGAGACTCAACCAGTTTAACTGTCCAATTATATTTATATAATTTATTTTTATGTTCAATCTAACAACAACAGATATTGCTTGCAAAATGAAACCTGGGGTGTTTTTACTTATATGATACAAATAACTCAAATTGGTGTGTGACTGGTCTCCAGCATTGATTTGCTAAGGACTATGTGTACCAATCTTAAATTAACAGTGCAGTTAAACATACAATAAAATGCTTCGCTGGGGAGCAGCTTGATACGACCGCAGAGGTCGAACCCTGAACAGTTGGGGCAAGTATGGACACAACATTCAAGCTTGATACAGCTCTGAATTTGGATTGTTATTCAATATTTGACACAGCATAGGCTTCTGACACAGAAAGAATGTGGTCTAAGAACTTGAATTTTTTTAATTTACCTATTATGGTCCAATGTCCAAAATCAAAATACATGGTTGGATTCAGCATATCAAAGAACCCCATATATTCAATTTTTGTTAAAATCAAACAAAGTTTAATTTTGGACCCAAACTTGGACAAACTTGAAAACTGGGCCCATAATCAAAAATCTAAACACAGGTTTAGATTCAGCATATCAAAGAACCCCAAGAATTCAATTTTTGCTAAAATCAAACTAAGTTTAATTTTGGACCCTTTGGACCTTAATGTAGACCAAATTAAAAAACGGGACTTAAAATTAAAAATCTATATACACGGTTAGATTTGGAATATCAAAGAACCCCAATAATTCAATTTTTGATGAAATCAAACGAAGTTTAATTTTGGACCCTTTTGACCTCAATATGAACCAATTTGATAGCGGGGCCTACAAATAAAAAATCTAAATACATGGTTAGATTCAGCATATCAAAGAACCTCATATATTCAATTTTTGTTGAAATCAAACAAAGTTTAATTTTGGACCCCAATTTGGACCAACTTGAAAACTGGGCCCATAATAAAAAATCTAAATACATGTTTAGATTCAGCATATCAAAGAGCCCCATATATTCAATTTTTGTTGAAATCAAACAAAGTTTAAATACTGGACCCTATCTTGGACCAACTTGAAAACTGGGCCCATAATCAAAAATCTAAACACATGTTTTAGATTCAGCATATCAAAGAACCCCAAGAATTTAATATTGTTAAAATCAAACTAAGTTTAATTTTGGACCCTTTGGACCTTAATGTAGACCAATTTAAAAAACAGGACCCAAAATTAAAAATCTAAATACACGGTTAGATTTGGAATATCAAAGAACCCCAATAATTCAATTTTAGATGAAATCAAACAAAGTTTAGTTTTGGACCCTTTTGACCTCAATATGAACCAATTTGATAACGGGGTCCACAAATAAAAAATCTAAATACATGGTTAGATTCAGCATATCAAAGAACCCCATATATTCAATTTTTGTTGAAATCAAACAAAGTTTAATTTTGGACCCCAATTTGGACCAGCTTGAAAACTGGGCCAAAAATCAAAAATCTAAATACATGTTTAGATTCAGCATATCAAAGAACCTCATATATTCAATTTTTGCTAAAATCAAACAAAGTTTAATTTTGGACCCTTTGGACCTTAATGTAGAACAATTTGAAAACTGGACCCAAAATTAAAAATCTAAATACACTGTTAGATTCGGCATAACAAATAAATAAATGTGATCAAAGATTTTACAAATCTAATGCGCCATACTGTGCAATTAAAGATTACTTCTTGAAATTTTTCAATATTTGAAATTTGAAAAAAAAATAATATTTGAAGAATAATTTTTTTTAATTTCTGAAATCTGAAATGAGAAAAAATTGACCCCCACAATTTCTTTTTATCCCCCCCCCCCCTTTTTTCCCCCAAAAAATTCTTTCCCTCAAGATATGGTCATAATCTCAATTCAAATTTCCAATGGAGTTGGCAACCATAATTACCCATTTAAATTTACCATAGTGCTAACTTAATCTATTTTATAATAGAATTAAAAATATAGTGTCAAATCTTTCATATGGATTTTTTTGTAAAAAAAAAAGATGCAACATTTGCAGATATTTTTACTGGTCTTCCTTTATAAATATGCATTTCTTTAAACATAATTTAAAAGCAGTGTAAGGGAAGTAACCAAAACGTTGTATTTGGATTACCTCCCTTACACTGTTTTAAATTATCTTTATTGTTCATTAACCATTACTTTATACATAATTTAAAAGCAGTGTAAGGGAGATAATTTCAATGATGTATTTGATTTATCTCCCTTACACTGCTTTAAATTATGTTTTGTACTAAAGTATTTGTTCATTAACCAGGACAACCTTGTTTTTCCCCTTTTTTGCCCCTAATTCCTAAACGGTTTGAGCCATAACCCCCAAAGCAAATCCTAACCATCCCTTTGTGGTATGGAAACTTGTACTATAATTTCAGAGAAATCCATACACCGTTCCACAGTTATTGTCTGGAAACTAGAAAATGCTTATTTTTGGCCCCTTTTTGGCCCCTAATTCCTTAACTGTTGGTACAATAACCCCCAAAATCAATCCCAACCTTCCTTTTGTGGTATTTATCCTTATGGTCAAATTTCAAAAAGATCCATTCACTTTAACTAAAGTTAGAGTGCGAAAACCAATGTGTATTCGGACGACGACGACGCCGGACGACGACGACGACGACGCCAACGTCATACCAATATACGACCACAAAATTTTTTTGCGGTCGTATAAAAATGCAAAGCAACCCTGAGAAAATATTTATGTACGTTTTTGCTATAAAGTTCATCAACGAAGTGTAGGTATTCCTTTGGGCACAAATTGCGCCCCTTTATTAACCCTTTCACCGATAGCTGCCCAGACAGAAGCTACTCTGAGACGATGGCTTCCCTGGCTACTATTACTCAAGTGGGAGATCTTCATAATAAATGTCAATAAAAACTTGTCTGTAGTATTTTGTGTCTTTATTTCATTCACTAACACCATGTTCACAGTTTTGTTCATGTTTTGATAATTTTTTCTTCATAAAATATTCAAATTTTCAAGTTTTCGGCATTATCTAGGTGAAATTCTCAAAATTCTACTTTTTGACCCAAGATCGTAATTTTTTAACCCAAAACGGCAAAATTTTGAAAAATTTAATGAGGCTGTACAAATTCCTTACACTGAACGATGTCCATTCCAAGAGTTTTGTACATAAAAGGACATTTTATGTCAAAAAAGTATACTAGTTTGGCTTCAATTCTTCCATATTCTTTCGAAAAAAATGTTCCCTCATTTTAAATTCTCGTAAATTCCGTAAATTTCCTCTGATTTTGACACAGTTTTCAACAAACGGAAGCGCCATGTTTACACTTTCATCCGGATATTCAACAAAGAAAGATAACTCGTGTTTGCACTGTTTTGAGCGGGAAATATAAAAGAGGTATTCCGATCCTGGTAAAACGGGACTCATCGTCAGCTGTTTGAAGCGTGAATCCAGGTAAACCGGGACTCATTGGCGAAAGGGTTAACCAACTTGTTCCTGTTTTGTTATGAATCAAAGTCAAGATTGGTTAAAGTAAAGGTTTTTGCAATTGTTTATGCAAATGCTGCCAGAAAAATAAGGTCTTCATCTCTCTTTCAACAATGTTTGTCTCAGGCATAGAAATAATTTACCATATCTGTGTCCTCAGCAGGTCGTTTTGTTCCTTTGTCTTCCTCGACTTCCTCTGATGATTTGTCTAATGTTTTCCCTGCATGCTCCTGTAGCCATGAATCTTCTGACCATACTAAAAAACAAATACATCGCTTTATTTTAATAATTGTATCTTTATCAATTTTATGTTATGAATGTACTACAAATAATCGTTTGTTTGCCTTGCTGTTAATGACTCCAAAAAAGACAACAAAATTGGAACATGGTAAATAGTGGAAACACAGTATACCAAAAGGCATATTTTCAACTTTGTAAGAGTGTTACTGTTTTCAAGACTAAGAAGAAACAATTCTTCTGTTTCAAAATCTTATGCAAGTATACTCTCTGTACAATATGATTGTCAACACTTCAAAGGATTTTTTGTTATCTTTCTATTCAAACTTATTTGTGTAGGGTTAATAGCCATTACTTGATACAGTGAAATTTCTCTCTGATATCGCAGCAACAAATGAGTAGTTTATTTTAATGGCAAATCCAAAATTGTCAGAATTTCTGCCTTAATTCTGGCCATAGGGAGAAATAAGTTTAATTGTACAATATGCACTTTCAAAATTTGGGATTGTATACATGTACCATATATATGTTCAAAAGAAGTTCTAGCAGAAAAATACAGCTAACAACACTTTTTTTTTTGAATTTAGTATTTGTAATTACATAAAGATATGTTCATAAGGATTTCTAGTACCTTTCTCTTTCTCGTAAAAAGCTTTTCTGCTTGTAAAATATTTATGTAAATATATATTTATTTAATTGCACTTCCTGCAATAAAAGATAAAATTAATCATTGTATGAAAATGTGTGAATCTTATATATATCTTGATTATGAATTACCTGCCCTTGTTGCTCCCTCCTTTATTTTCATTGGCTTGGCTAAATTAACTCTTATAGCTCTTCCAAACAATTCTGAATCATTCTGTTAAAAAAATAATTCTATGTTATTTAATACTTCTATACATCAGACACAAATTGTGAATCACACAAAATGAGATAATTATATTCGTTGTAAGCAAAGGCAAAACTGTACTAGTCATGACACAATTCTGTCAAGTTTCATCAAATTCACTTGTAAACTATAGGAGATTCTGTATTGGAAATTTCCAAAAGTGTAGAAAAGTTAAGTTTATGTTTTGCTTGGAAGTTCCCTTGAATCATTCTAACTGAAAATTAATAAATTGCTTCGCCGAGCGCAGCTGGTTATAACCGCAGAGGTCCAACCCTGAACAGTTAGGGCAAAAATGGAGGCAATATTCGCGCTTGATACAGGTCTGAATTTGGATTGTAATTAAATATTTGACACATAAAAGGTTTCTGACACAGAATAACTGTAGTCAAAGAACTTAGAATTGGTTATATGACTTGAATTTATATTCAATTTTTTGCTTTTTTGCAATACACTTCTTTGCTGTTGCGAATTGACCCCGCCCCCTCCCCCAACAAAAAAAAATAAAAAATTTACCCCCCCCTTTTTTTTTGCTTTTGTGCAATACACTATGCTGTTGCGTATTACCCCCCCCCCCCCCCCCTCCCCCCCCCCCCCCCCCCCCCTTTCCCCAAAAAAAATCTTTCCCTCAAGATATGGTCATAATCTCAATTCAAATTTCCAATGGAGTTTCCAACCATAATTACCCATTTAAATTTACCATAGTGCTAACTTAATCTATTTTATAATAGAATTTAAAATATGGTGTCAATCTTTCATATGGATTTTTTTGTAAAAAAAAAAAGTTGCAACATTTGCAGATATTTTTACTGGTCTTCCTTTATAAATATGCATTTCTTTAAACATAATTTAAAAGCAGTGTAAGGGAGGTAATTGAAATGATGTATTTGAATTACCTCCCTTACACTGCTTTAAATTATGTTTTGTACTTAAGTATTTGTCCATTAACCAGGACACCCTTGTTTTCCCCCCATTTTTGCCCCTAATTCCTAAACGGTTTGAGCCATAACCCCCCAAAGCAAATCCTTACCATCCCTTTGTGGTATGGAAACTTGTGGTATAATTATAGAGAGATCCATACACCGTTCCACAAGTTATTGTCTGGAAACTAGAAAAATGCTTATTTTTGGCCCCTTATTCCTTAACTGTTGGTACCATAACCCCCAAAATCAATCTCAACCTTCCTTTTGTGGTATTGATTCTTATGGTAAAATTTCATAGAGATCCATTCATTTAAACTAAAGTTATTGTGTGAAAACCAATGAGTCTTGCGGTCGTATAAAAATAGGAAAATATTGATGTAATTAATAAATGATATTTATTTAAGAAGATATATAGTTTATGAATTGGAAAAAATCTGCTAGGTAAATCTTATATTAGTGAGTCAACCTGACACAAGGATACAAAGTTTACTAGTTGATTCACTGGATGAAATATGCTACTATTATAGTCATCAACTATGGTTACTATTATAGTCATCAACTACGGCTACTATTATAGTCATCAACTACGGCTCCTATTATAGTCATCAACCAAGGCTACTATTATAGTCATCAACTACGGAAAGATGCTCTTAAAATTATTCCTTAGGTAATGTTCGAAACAGAAATCTAACAGTATGATATATACATTGTGCTTTATAACGTTAACACAATTCATTTCTTTAATACTTACTAAATTATCAATAGCTGCAGCAGCATCCTGCAATAATCAGATTTAATTAATATTGATTTTTGATAGAAATAAATATACACAGACATGTATAACAATTTCATTACTTAAATTCAAACAATGGTAATAGAGTTTGTTTCACTTAACATTGGTTTGATGAACCATACATGTATGTAGTGGTGAAATTAAACTTCAGTAAGAAAAATACCATACCTATATATCAAAGATCTTAACGTGGACGAAAATAAATAAAAATTTGTAAGGGGTTCAGTGGAACCCTGTCTCTCGACTGAGATTGCTGCAGTTAGTGTAAAAGTGTAATGTTGGCTCATAAAGTGAGTCCATTTATTAGTAAAATACAGAATTTAAAAAAATAAATGTGGATAGTGTCCACATGTGGACACAGATGATGCCCCCACTTGCATATCATATAGTTATAAAGGGACATAACTGAAGAATGGTAAAAGTGACGCTACCCAAATTTGAACTTGATCTGAGTTTGTGGTAATAAGCATTGTGTGTAAGTCTCATAACATTTGGTTGAGGCTAACTTAAGTAGAGTACAGAAACTAAAAATTCAGCAATTTTTCTATTTGTAAACATGCATAACTCTAGAACGGTTGTGAATAAGTTATATAACATTTGGTTGCGACAAACTAAAGTTAGAGAACGGAAACGAAAAATTCAGCAATTTTTATGTTTATAAAGGAACATAACTCAAGAATGGTAAAAGTGTTGCCGCCAAATTTCGTACTTAATCTGTATTATGTAGTAATAAGCATTGTGTATAAGTTCCATAACATTTGGTTGAGGCAAACTAAAATTAAACAAAAAATTTGTACTTGATCTTAGTTTTGTGGTAATGAATATTGTGTATAGGTTTCATAATGTTTGGTTGGGGCAAACTTAAGTTACAGAATGGAAACTAAAAATTTTGCAATCTTTCGATTTATAAAGGGGCATAACTCAATAATAAAAGTGACACTACCCTAATTCAACTTGATCTGTGTTTTATCAGTGGAAGTCAAAATTAAACATTGCATTGTATAAAGCTTTGATTGTAGTTGATTCAACTATAATCATGGACAAAGGAAGATAACTCCAATTTTAAAAATTACTTGATATTTAGAAGAAAATAAAAATTTTATAAAGGGGCATAACTCTAGAACGGTTAAAGTGATGCCACTAAAATTCAAATTTGATCTGTGTTTTGTGGTAATAAGCATTGTGTAAAAGTTGCATTAAATTTGGTTGAGGCAAACTTAAGTTAGAGAATGGAAACTAAAAATTTTGCAATTTTTCCATTTATAAAGGGGCATAACTCTAGAAGGGATAAAGTGACACCACCAAAATTCATACTTGATCTGTGTTTTGAGGTAATAAGCATTGTGTATAAGTTTCATAACATATGGTTGAGGCAAACTCAAGTTAGGGAATGGAAACCAATTTTGGGACGTACGTACGTACAAATGTACAGACGGACAAGAGTAAAACTTAATGCCCCCACCGCTACGGCAGGGGCATAATAAAAATTAAACTTTTTCATTAGATGCTTTTTCTTGGTCTTGAGGATTAGCTTCTGTCCAAGTTTCATAACAATCAAAGAAGGTTTACACATATATCATGTAAAAAAAAATTATTTAATCCCAGACTGTCTGTAAATGTACATGTTAACTGTAAAAAACTAAGTCCATCTATCAGAAAAATACTGAAAATGAAAAAAATATATATTCAAAAGTTTGTTTCAGACATTATCTCTTAATCATAAAAAGATTTTTCCAAAGTTTCATAAAATTCTATGAAGGTTTGACAAAGTAATTGATGTGTAACAAACTCTAACCCCAGACTGTATCTACTTGTTAATTGTAAAAAAACACTAAGTCCATTTATCAGTAAAATACGGAAAAATGAAAATAAACAAATTTCAAAATTTTGCTCTGAATACTGTATATTGATCATTATCAAGCTTATGTCCAAATTTCATATAATTCCATGAAGGTTTGACAAAGTTATTGTTGACTGAAAAACTTTAACCTCAGACTGAGTCTGAATGTGAACTAAAAAAAAAAAAAGTCCATTTATCAATAAAGTACAGAAAAATGAAAATAGATATTTTCAAAATTTCGCTCTGGATACTGTCTTCTGGTCATAAACAAGCTTCTGTTTAAATTTCATAAAATTCCATGAGGGTTTGACAAAGTTATTGATGACTGAAAAACTTTAACCTCAGACTGAATCTGAATGTTAACTGTAAAAAAACTAAGTCCATTTATCAGTGAAATATAGAAAAATGAAAATAAATATTTTCAAAATTTTGCTCTAGATACTGTATTTTGGTCATAAACAAGCTTCTGTCTAAATTTCATAAAATTCCATGAGGGTTTGACAAAGTTATTGATGACTGAAAAACTTTAACCTCAGACTGAATCTGAATGTTAACTGTAAAAAAACTAAGTCCATTTATCAGTGAAATATAGAAAAATGAAAATAAATATTTTCAAAATTTTGCTCTAGATACTGTATTTTGGTCATAAACAAGCTTCTGTCTAAATTTCATAAAATTCCATGAAGGTTTGACAAAGTTATTGATGTTTAAGAAAACTTTAATTTCAGACTCAACCCTAATATTGAATCTGCTGACACCCAACGATGGAATCTAGGATCCCTATGTCTAGCTTTTGAGACATAAATATCGCAGGCTAGACAAAAATCAGGATAGCATAAAATGTTGGTCAACAAAACAATGAACAGGTTAATCAGGAAACTGAACAAAGGTTGCAGCACTGTTGAATGTTGATTAAAAATGACAGAAATTAGAAATGGGAGCAAAATTTTGCCTTAAACATGAGAAACATCCTATCATAAGCCTGAGAACACATCTTTTTTTCATTTTTATTCAAGCCTTTGTAAATATTTAGCTTGCCTCTTTTCAATACTCAAAATAAAAATTTGTAAGGGTTCCGCGGAACCCGGTGTCTCACCTACTTTTTCTGTTAATCGCAGGCTCAACAAAAATGAGGAAAAATATTAATAAAAATATTCCTCTTGATACTATCTTTTGATTGTAAGAAGCTTCTGTCCAAGTTTGGTAAAAATCCAGGATAGTTTATGAATCTAATAAATGTTTTAAAAACTTTAACTGCAGGCTGTATATAATGTTTACTGGAAGAAAAACTGAGTCCATTTATAAGTAAAATACGAAAAAACAGGTACAAAATTTTAATAAAATTTCCTTCTAGATATTAGCTTTTGATCATAAACAAGCTTTTGTCCAAGTTTGGTACAAATCCAGGATAGTGTAAGTTATTAAAATTTTAAAAACTTTAACCACAGAGTGAATGTAATGTTTCCTGGCAGAAAAACTAAGTCCATTTATAAGTAAAATACGGAAAAACTAGAATTTTTTTTTTTAAATTTACTACTGGATACTATCTTATGATTATAAACAAGCTTCTGTCCAAGTTTGGTAGAAATCCAGGTTAGTTTAAGAAAGTTATTAAAATTTCAAAAAGTGAATATTTGTAGACGCTGCCACCGACGACGACGCTGGAATGTAGGATCGCTATGTCTCGCTTTTTCGACAAAAGTCGAAGGCTCGACAAAAACCATACTGTCAAAAACATGAATAAAAGTATGAGCAACATGAATAATTATCTTTTTCTCAAAATCAAGAGTACAAGTTTATTATTATTTATCCCTGTAAAATGGAAAACTGAAATTGTAAAGAATGTGACATTTATCTTTATTTCTTAAGACTTAAAAAAAATTCTTAAGAAGAACCAAAATGTTACATATTATGGTCTGGTAATGTCCTACATTTAAATTGTAATATTTACCTCTGCTAATTCAAATTCAATAAATGCAAAACCTCTATGCTTTTCTGAAAAATGTAAAAAAAACAACTGTACATGTATAAATAATGCTTAATTCTTATAAATTGATGCAAGCTTAAATGTAAATACTAACATGTGATAAAATTTATCATAGACATTTGGTGTATAATTAAAGTGTAATTAATCATTAATAAATGATAAATTGTAAATTCAGAATTTATTCAATACATACAAGAATGTTAGATATATCAACATAATCAATGAATTTCCTGTAATTGAAATTTGAAAGAGCAATTCTTAATAATTGCTATCTTCCCTCCATTGCCAATAAAATCTGAATTTATAGCATATAAAACAACATAAAAATAAATCATATGTATATTATCTGAAATGCATTTTTTTTCTTTGTGTAAGCTCCTTTTTTCTCATGGCTCATATTTTACATGAATTGTCCTATAATGTCAAACTTTCCCAAAATTCCCAATTTCAGTCTTACATGTATGTGTACAAGAAATTTTTGCTGGTAGATATCCATAAGCAATATATTATTTGCAGCATGAGTTTGGCTTTTACATACATTGAAAGGAAATACAAAGGAGAGTATGAGGTATGATTGCCAATGAGACAACTATCCACCAATGCAAAGTTCAAATAAAGTGGATGTAAGCAATTATAAGCAACCGTACGGCCTTCAACAATTAGAAAAACCCATACTGTATAGTCGGCTATTTGGATTTCTCTCTACGTATTTTGTGTCTTTCTTGTTGAGTGCACATTTCTTTGAAATACTGTATGTATACAAATAAAAGGCAATATGGGATATAGGTCAATGAGATGTAGCAACTGACACAATTGACAAATATAACTAAAATACATCTATGGAGAAACACATACACATGTAGTCTCAACCAACTGACAAGTGTCTATACACTATGGCATGCTCTAAATCCTCTGTGTATACAAAGTTATAAATAAATTAGAGGAAACAATTTAAGATCTGCCATTAACAACAAATTCTCAAAATAACAAAAAAAAAAGTTGGGATATGGCATAAGACCAATATTTACCAGAATGATACCCATATATAATTACATGCATATTTAGGAGGATAACATGATTAAGATTGCAGGAAGACATGTTTTCTACTGGTCTGGGTTCAAACCCACAACCTCCCCAACTATAGGTGAGCAAGCCACCGAAGCGTTTGTGTCATAATTGAAGGACAAGACCCTCCCGTTTCCTAATCTAATTATTACAAGATTACTTGTTTACATGTAGTTAGCTACGGGTGACAAGATCTTACGTATACCAATAACATAATCTTAGGGTGACAAGATCTTACCTGTTTCATAATCTAATGGTATATTTATATCTGTAATGTCACCAAAAGGGATAAATGCTGACTGTAAAAGTTTTTCATCTACCTCCTCTGCTAAACCACCTTTTAAAATGTAAATGCAAAAAGTTTTCATTGTTTATAAATTAATTTCCAAAACACTACTACAATGTAGACTGATATATCATCAATACATATTGTGCATACAGTTTAAACAAAATTAAAGTTAGTAAACAGACCGATTCCAATTATTGACTGATACAGCATTCTGGTGGATTATACCTCCATTCAGATATAAAAAGAAAATAATTACAAGCATATGATTTCCTGAAAACAAATCTACATCAGAGCAAATTTCAAAGGAGCATATGATTTCCCTCAAATTTGTATTTCTGATTACCAAATGTAAGATAAGAAAACCTGACATGCAAAATCCACTTTTTATAACCTTTAACCTTCCTGAGCTCATCAGGTACATGCAGCAACTGCTTCACATAAAATGAAGGCAAAATCAATATAAAAATAATATACTAATGAATCTAAAATTGTAAACTTTTCTTTTGCAACAGTTGTACTTGCGCATTACCCGATACCTCTTCTGGTGCAAATCATAAGATTTCCCTCAAATTTGTATATTTTACTACCAAAGAGAAAAATGACAATAACAGTTGAAAGAATATTTTGATTTCATGCTGGTTGTGTATGTGATATAAAGAGTCTTGTGCTCATTCAACATATAATTTAATGGCAAACAAAATGAGTTCTCTGGAAAAACTCACATCGATTAAGCAGAATTTTTTATCTGATACAAAGCCCATTTGTTATGTTCATTGTTTTAACATATATAAATTATTTTACATTTAATTTATCAATACATTTTTTGTTCTTTAATACGGGGACAAAGTCCCCAATTACAGTAAGAAAATCAATAAAATGGGAAAAAATAAAATTTGATGAACTCAAAATCATTAACTTTTTTTTTCCAACTCTTTTTCTCTTTCTTTCTTCTGGTTTCGTTTGTCAAGAGACTTTGAGTAAAATATAAAACGAAACATCATATTGTTTCCCGCAAAGTAGTTGTTTTTGATTACTGAAAGAATACTGCCAGTTAAACAATTAAAATAAATTTCTTACATTTTAAAATGAGTCTGGAGCTTATTCAACATACTTTTTTATAGCAAACATAATGTGTTCTCTTGAGAATCTCACCTGATCAATCAGTCAGATTTCAGTATCTGATAAGAATAACTAGCCGACTTGGTTAATTCGTCAGTTAAAGATATAAATTATAACAATTTCATTTTGATAATTCTTTGACATGAACAAAAAATGTTACCTGACGATAGGTTACTTTGTTTACATTGAAAATGGTGTCACAACTAAAATTCCGAACAACAGGATCAACATCGGAAACATTTCCGTATTTCCGTTTCTTTTTCAACAGATTCTGGAGTTCATGATTAAAAATATGGTTGAATTAAAAAAAAAAAATTTACAAGGACTTCATCCCCTTTCACATGTGGTAAACAGACAGAAAGTTACAAATTTGATAGGACAAAAAGTCACAAATAATTTGTTGACAAGTGTTTGAATATATAAGAGAAATATCTTGAAATATTTTCTTTTTATTACATACATGTTGTTGTATATTCATTTTACAGTTTAGGAAATTGTTCATTTATAGCCTTGGTAAATAAATTTATTAAATTTAAATCATGCAAAGGATATATTTCTTGGCACCATGAAGCCGTTTAAGTACCAAGCCACTTTAAAATTTTGTATTCTTAACAATTATTCAATTATTTGATCATTATTGATATTAAATAAATTTTAATAACAAAGTTGCTTTATATATAATAGTTTAAGAAAAATACTAAATTGTTTTTTTTTTAAATAAGTGTTTTCTTATTCAAAGAAAAATTATCTCAAAACTGAATTGTGATTTTTTTGTCCGTGACTTTTTGTCTGTGACTTTCTGTCCTACATTCTTCACAGGTAAACCCTGCCTCATATTATTTTAAGTATCGGACTTTCATGGCGAAAGAACCTATTTATCATACATAGACCACTTTTATTGAAATGCACATCTATATTCTTACCCACATAAACAATACGTTTTGTATTCGTACTGGACATTATTCGATTTTCCTTTCGAAAATGGAAATTCAATGTTAAAAGGTTTGTCCTATTTGTCCTTGAAGCTTTCGTTTTTTGAAGAGTCTAAAAGATTCAGAATGTATTTTATAAAAGTAAAACCTTTTTCTGAAGAGAACAATATTTCCGGATACAGCGTAAGCTGAATTATCGTGTGTTGAATGAAAGAAATCACTTCAAATATGTGGAAAAAAATATTTAGAGTTTTTCTCAACTGTGCTACTTACAAGTTTAGGAATAAATATCAAACATAGTAGTACAAATAAGATAACCTTAAGTGAGCCCCTTTGAATATTTAAATCAGGGTGAAATGGGTGTTTGATGTAAAGTTATGACATTCTTAAACGTTCCACAGACGAAGATTTCCCGCTATTTTTAGAAGTCAACAGAGATGGCTGATGATGAAGTGTATGACAATATAGAGTATTTATGCAATCAGTTATACTATAAAGCTCTGTTTTTATTTAATTTTAATAATATTCAAATTGAGATATTGTTTTCTTTGAGAATATTATATGGGCATCCTCAAATCCATAAGGTTTATACGACTTTGCTTATTCTTACACAGGGGCACATAGTATGACATAGGGAAGGAATATTATACTTTCATTCAATCATTGGTTGCATGCATGGAAAATGTTATTCGATTTACACAATTTTAGCAAGATGAATTACCTTTTTGTCGCAATTGTGGACATCTAAGTGTGCAAATTCCTTCATAAATCAGCCAAATATAACTTATTGTCTTGTGTGTAACTTGACTCGCAGTATGTAGGACATTGGTATTACAATCCAGCAGTGACGGTGTAAACTATTTGTTTAAAGCTTTGTATTTCAGAAGAAAAAAGACATGGATGCTTCATACCTTGTGTGCAGATACATGTACCTTATTTTATGAAGAGTCCGTCTGTCATATGTTATTGTCCTTTACCTCAATTTCATGGTTCTGTCGTGGGATCCGAGCATGTAATCATAATAAATGAACAATATATGATAACTCGCCAGGTTTATTCAGGTGATACAGCAATTATACACAAAGTACAGTAATAATAAACAATCAATGAATCAATATACAATCGATACATGTGGTTGAAGGTGAAGAGTCAGAATGTATCATTATGCGCACTACATCATTGGTTCACGATGAGGTCCATATAAAACATGGACTGGTTCAATAGTTCACATTGGTGTTCAGCACCCCAGTTCAGTGACTGCCTGAAAAAAATTAGTTTTTTGTTAAGTGAAATACTCGCATATTATGAGCAATAAGATATTTGGTATGTGGGATCCTTGCAATGTCAACATGGCCATCAGGTAGGGTTCACATGACCTCGACCTATTTCCAGGGATCAGCTATCAAAGTTGAAAGTAACATGGTCAAGTCCATATCTCAGCTACTATAAGTAATAGGTCATTTATATTTGGTGTATGGAATGATTGTAAGTTGTACATGTCAAACTTGCAAGTTTCATCTGACCTTGACCTTAATTTCATGGTTCATTGGACAATGTTGAGGTTTTGTGGTTTGGTCTTTTTCCCAGATACTACACGTATAAGCAATAGGGCCACTCTATTTGGTTTATGGAATAGTTGAAAGGTGTACATGCCTGACTGGCAGATTTCATCTGACCTTGACCTCATTTTCATGGTTTATTAGACAATGTTTAGTTTTTGTGGTTTGGTCTATTTCTCAGATATTATAATTTATAACCAATAGGTCACTTATATCATGTCTGTCTGGCAGGGTTTATATGACCTTGGCCTCATTTTCATGGTTCATTGGTCAATGATAAGTTTTCTTATTAGTCCCTTAGCGACGAAGTCGAAGGGGACTTTAGGCTTGTACTCTGTCCGTCCGTCTGTCAGTCTGGAAAATCAGTTTTCCACACTTTTTTTCTTCATGCTTAAAGTTATTGATTTGATATTTAGTATATAGTTTTATCATGACTAGTAACAGATAAATTTCAAATTTTGTTTCGGTCTGATGATTACCTGCCGAGTTATGGTCCTTGGACAACAAAATTCAAGAAAGTAATCAGTTTTCCGCATTTTTTTCATCATGCTTAAAGATATTGATTTGATATTTGGTATATAGTTAACCAAGACAAGTTACAGATCAAGTTCAAATTCAGTTCGGTTCGGATGATTTTTTTTTGACAGAGTTATGGTCCTTGGACTTAGAAAATTCACTCAAATAATCAGTTTTCCACACTTTTTTTTTGTTATGGATTGAACATGCTGAAGATATTGATTTGATATTTGTTATAAAGTTTACACCATGACAAGTTATAGATCAAGTACAATAGATTTTTAACCGGTAGGGGACTATGTATTGCCATGCAATACTCTATTAATGCTTGTTTTTGTCAGTTTATCAGGTACTATAAGCAATAGGTCAACTATATTTGGATTATGGAATGATTGTAAAGTGTACATGACTGTCTGGCAGGGTTCATATGACCTTGACCTCATTATCATGCTTTGGTCAATGTTTAGATTTTGTGGTTTGATCTGTAAGCGATAGAACTGCTATGTTTGGTGTATGGAATGATTGTAAGGTGTACATGTCTGTCTGGCCTGGTTCATCTGACTATGGCCTCATTTTACATAGAAAATTGATAATGTATATTGCAGACTTTCAACATTAATTCAATGATAAGTAAAACAGGTGAGACATTTCAGCGTGTACACTCATGTTTCTTTTAGTCTTGCTCAATTCATCACTGCGATTTAATTTATGATCACTTATCAGTTTGTGTGTATCACATGTTTCAATTTGGTGAGCCAAAAAAGAAAATCAACTGTTTATCCCTTCAAAATGGCGATCGGGAAATAACTCAAACTTAAATTAAGTCATTCGAAACATACCTTTAGAAGAGTTTCCAATTTTTTTTGGTTTTATGAACAAACTGCAATGGTTATATGCAAGATGGGGGCTAAAATCAACCATTTACAAGCAAATTTAGGGGGACAGAGATTTTAATTCACACCTTTTTATCAATTCTACCAAGTTTTTACACTGGTATTACAGGACAAACTCTTTTGAATGAATTTTTAATTGGAACTACAAGGATAAAATTTTAATCTGAATCTATGTCATGTTTATTTGATAATTTTTTTCTGTTTCAAAAACTGTAAACTGAAAACATAATTCCATGAAAATATTAAGATACAATTGAATCATGTGAATAGAAATTGTTTTGAAAATCTAGTAACCCTAAGACTTTCACTCACATTAAGCTCATTTTATCAATTGAAAAAACAAATGATTGTCTTTCTAAACCTAATGCAATAGTGTTATATCATATTTATTGTTAACCTCATACATATGATTTTTTTAGACACTACTCTTCAAATCGTTCCATTAGTTATTTCAATCACATTGCTTTTCTTAAGTGTCTCAGAATTTCCAGAGCTGAGTGGGGTGATTTTAAAAATATTAATAATGTTGTGTAGTTGTTGCATCACAGCACAGACGATGCTTTGATTTACTGTCATGAGGACTTTATCCTATATCTATGAAATAAATATTATACCAATGAATAAAAAAAATTACTGAAGTGACTAGAATTCCTTACACACAGGAGTCAGGAATATTTTAATTTGCATACATTCTCAGATATTAGATTAATCTTGATCCCTATTATTATTATTAGATTAAATGATAGGAAATCAAAAGGGAAGGCTAGTAAAAGAAAAAATAATGAAGACTGTGGCCCAAGTAAAAAAAGAACCAAAGACAGAAAGACGGAGGATAATAGTGATGATGATGACTTTAATCTAACTCAACAAGCAGATTTTGATGTTCAGACAGTAAGTTTTATTCAGTAGATATATATTTATTAATTCAAGTCAAAATCAAATTTACTGACAAACTGTTCCCTTATCACTGTATTGTTTTATTTATGCAAGGTATTTGCAATGTTACTTATAAATACCACATACTTATAATGCACTTAGAATTTAAATGTAAATGCTAAAATGTATACTCTATAGTGTGTGATAACATTTTGTGAGGGAATTCGATGTTTGCTATATCACGGTTGATTTCAACGCACTTTATGACAATACCACTATACCAATCAGAATGAATTTTTTTACAGTGTTTTAAGAAATGATTTTGCTTTCTATCCATGTATTATTTGTGGACCATTAAATGTTTTAAAACGGCAAATTTTCTGTATAAAGTCAATAATTATGTAGACTTTTGAAGTCCAAACATTTTATTGCCTTAAATACGCAAATGAAAGATCAGAAAACTATACCAATACAGAAAGACATGTTTTTGAAATTATAGCAAAACTTTTGGTTGACAAATCTTTATTTGTTATTACAAAAAATGAACTTAGAATATCTGTCATTTTCTCCCTACCAAGTTTGGCCCTATTACTTATTATGATGTGGGCCAGTCATTGTTATTGAATCTTACGCAAGTTGATTGGATTGGATTAAGTTATATTATTAGTTTACCTTCAAACTGTTTATTTTCATACATGTATATTGATTAAATCAGAATTTGCCTGAATGTGTACAGGAACTTGAATGACCTTTAAACTGGACACTGGACAAGTCCATATTATTTTTAGCTCACCTGGCCCAAAGGGCCATTTGAGCTTTTCTCATCACTTGGCGTCCGTCGTCCGTAAACTTTTACAAAAATCTTTTCCTCTGAAACTACTGGGCCAAATTTGACCAAACTTGGCCACAATCATCATTGGGGTATCTAGTTTAAAAAACGTGTCCGGTGACCCGGCCAACCAACCAAGATGGCCGCCATGGCTAAAAATAGAACATAGGGGTAAAATGTAGATTTTGGCTTATATCTCTGAAACCATAGCATTTAGAGCTAATCTGACTGATTAAAATTGTTTATCAGGCCAAGATCTATCTGCCCTGAAATTTTCAGATGAATCGGACAACCCGTTGTTTGGTTGCTGCCCCTGAATTGGTAATTTTAAGGAAATTTTGCAGTTTTTGGTTATTATCTTGAATATTATTATAGACAGAGATAAACTGTAAACAGCAATAATGTTCAGCAAAGTAAGATCTACAAATAAGTCAACTTGACCATAATGGTCAGTTGACCCCTGAAGGAGTTATTGCCCTTTATAGTCAATTTTTAACCATTTTTCGTAAATTTTTTTACAAAAATCTTCTCCTCTGAAACTACTGAGACAAATTTAACTAAACTTGTCCACAATCATCATTAGGGTATCTAGTTTAAAAAATGTGTCTGATGACCCCGCCTGCGAACCAAGATGGCTGACATGGCTAAAAAATAGTACATAGGGTAAAATGCAGTTTTTGGCTCATATCTCTGAAACCAAAGCATTTAGAGCAAATCCTACGAGGATAAAATTGTTCATTAGGTCAAGATCTATCTGCCCTGAAATTTTGTTGGGTTGCTGCCCCTGAATTGGTAATTTTAAGAAAATTTTGCAGCTTTTGGTTATTATCTTGAATATTATTGATAAACTGTAAACAGCAATAAGTTACAGCAAAGTAAGATCTACAAATAAGTCAACATGACCAAAATTGTCAATTGACCCTTCAAGGAGTTATTGCCCTTTATAGTCAATTTTTTACAATTTTCATAAATTTTGTAAATTTTTGTAAATTTTTACAAAATATTTTCCACTGTAACTACTGGGCCAAGTTCATGATAGATAGAGATAATAGTAAGGAGCAAGAATGTTCAGTAAAGTAAGATCTACAAACACTTCACCATCACCAAAACACAATTTTGTCATGAATCCATCTGTGTCCTTTGTTTAATATGCACATAGACCAAGGTGAGTGACACAGGCTCTTTAGAGCCTCTAGTTTATCAATGAAACAAAAATATGAAAGGTAAGAATTGCCACTTCATATATTTTCACAAAAGTTTCCACATATTGAGTAGATAAAATATTTTTTACAAGCCTATTCCTAAGAAAAAAGAGAAAATTTACAAACCAGACGTTTTATTCCATTAAACAAGTCATTTTTCGAAGAGAAATACTGAAATACATTTTACACAGGACTATGCTAGGTAAAATTATTGTTTATCTTAACAAACAAAAAACACTTTTCAGTCTCGTGATAATGGTCAAAATTCAATACGATCGTTTTAAGGTCAATTTCGTCTACCTCACAAAATCTTGTTAGGCACTATAACCTCCTTGCATTTTTTTACACTAACAAAATTATCACACAAAATAATTGTAGGTATGAGCAAAGTTAAATGTGTAATATCTTTTAATTATCAGGAATAGTTACAGTAATTTTATAGTCTAAAGATGGAAAAATTCTTATTTAAAAAAGGACAATATTTGCATATGCTAACACATATTTGTTGTAAGGAAATATTGAGTGCATGCAAGTACCACACAAATATGTACATTAAAGTTCTGTTCATTAAAACAAACATTGTGGTAAGTTATTAAGTTGGTAAAAGAGAGGCAACAGATACTAAAGGGATATTCAAACTCATAAGTCGAAAACAAAATGACAACGCCATGACAAAAAATGATCAAAAGACAAACAGCAGTACACAAAACACAACATTGAAAACTATAAAGACTGATCAACAGGAACACCACCAAAAAGGGTAAGCAGATCCTGCTCCACATTTGACACCCGTCATGTTGCTCATGTACATGTTAGTACAAATCTGGTGATACAATGTAAGTCTAATTCTGTTGGTCAAATTGAAGGAAAACAGGATGGAAGTGTGTTTTTTTACGACAATTTGTTCTTGCATGCAAAAAAAACAAACAAAATTTTTGTGTTTTTACAAAAACATGTAGAAGGGTTATTTATGAGAAGTCAAAACTGCATTTACCATGTTTACTTGGTAAAAATCTCATAAATTGAAAATTTCGAATTAAAAGTTCAAAATTTAGTATAAAGTTAGGCCTAATGGTTTTTATATTGAGATAAGTTTTACGAAATTGTCACAGATTAAAAAAAGATCATCAAACCAGTATACTGTTGATATGATGAAGAGCTATGAGACTAGTTCTTTCTTCTATACTAAAACTAAACCTCATATGAATATCAGATGTAGTTTTTTCTTAGAATGTCATCAATTATGACTTGGGGACTATTTGTTCACTGGACAGCTGTATGTCTATATAATCTTTTACAGTGACAAAGTTTGTTCTTTTGTTCATTTTAGAGAGAAGCTGACATAGGAATTATAGAACGGATCTCTATGAAAAATTTTATGTGCCATAGCAGACTTGATGTTCGGTTAGGACCTCATGTAAACTTTGTAGTAGGCAGAAATGGAAGTAAGTGGAATTATTATTGCATTTCGGTTCCCCTGGCTCAATTTTCTTTTTCGCACCTCTTTCGCCAAAACAATGTTTTTTCTGCCAACTGACATAAACATATTTTTCGTTTTAAATTTTCCTACTTGCTAACATATCTATTTTTATACCCCACGCAAATTATTTGCGAAGGGTATAATGTTTTTGACCCGTCCGTCTGTTCGTCCGTCAGTCCTGTTTCTTGTCATCCCAACTCCTCTCAAACCACACAACAGAATTTCATGAAACCTTTTCAGATAATAAGGACATACTATGTAGATGTGCATATCGACAGGAATTTACGAATCAATTTTTTTCCCAGGAGTTACGCCCCTTTGAACTTATTTGCCCAATATACTACTGCAACCTTTTGTCATCGCAACTCCTCTGAAACCACACCACAGAATTTCATGAAACTTTGTAGATAATAAGGACATACTATGTAGATGTGCATATCGACAGGAAATTACGATTCAATTTTTTTTTCTTACACTTATTTTATTTCTCCAATGACAATGTGGAGACGTGGGGTATGTGAGCGCGCTCACTAAGGTTCTTTAATTTAATCTACAATGTACATTGTGTGTAATAAATAAACACTCATTATAAACATTTACGTTTTAAAAGATACAGTTAAATTGCAATAAAATTGATGAAATGATCATATTTGATTTCTGGGAACACGGGATTCATCTTCAATAAGTTTAATGGATACTTCTCGTCTAGTTGAATAATAAAGGCTAAAGTCAGAGATTTTTCTTAATTTGGAACATTTTACTTTATAACAACAGTTTTCTTTTCTGCACCATTGCTTAAAAAGTTGAGACGTAAAACTATGCTTCGAATATGTGCTCCATTAAAACGATTGTTAAGTACCCACTTTAAAATAATTATTTCTATCAAAGTTGTAAAAAATCCTTTTGGTGACATGTGAAGCCATTTAACCACACTATTTCATCAAACAATGCAATCAACACCTTTATTAATTAGTCCATTGTAGCTGATATCTATATTAAAATGCAATCAGCTGATTATTGATTTTCTGTCAAAATGGTAACGCTTGATGAGTTCAAGGTGAAATCCCAGTATTGTTTTAGGTAATTAGGAGTGCCAGTTTTCCTTCCAAAAGGATGGTTGTTCTCTACTGACACTCCAGCTTCTTCAAACAATAAAAACTGGCCACCACGAAATAGCTAATGGTGCTGAAAGAGGCTTTAAACACGAAAAATTAATCAACTAAGTAATGGTTGTTTTACCTTAACATGTCTCAATAGGACCACATGTCTCTTTCTGTGCAACTAATAAGGGCAGAAAATGACATAATGTAGAGTAGGAAGCCTTCCCAGTTTACAAATGTATTTTTATGCCCCCACCACAGCAATGGGGGCATTAAGTGTTACCCTTGTCTGTACGTCTGTATGTACATACGTCCAAAATTGATAGAATTTGGGTGGCATCACTTTTTCCGTTCTTTAGTTATATCCCTTTATGATGTTATATGCAAAATAGGGGGGGGGGGGGGGGGGTGCATCATCTGTGTCCCATGGACACATTCTCCATTTAATTTAATTTAAAAATAAAATATGTTTCCCATATTAAAACTATTAAGTTATGAGGTTAATTTGTACTTTTTATAAAAGATTCTGTTATTACATTGTTTAAGGTGGCAAAAGTGCAATAGTAACAGCTTTAGTGGTAGGATTGGGTGGAAAAGCTTCAGTAACCAGTAGAGGAACAACAATCAAAAGTTTCATCAAAAATGGAAAACAGTATGTATCAGTTATTATTGAAAAACCGCATCAACACACATTTATTTCAAGGTTGACTTGTCGTTATCTGAAAGTGGTACACACCTGAGAAAAAGGTCACATATTTCTGTTTCAACAAGGAACACAATTCTAAAATAGCATGTATCTCTTGTTTTTCGAAAAATGTTGAATGTTTTGTTTGGGGATCAATTTATAATTTTAACTTTGAAGAAGTTTTACTGGTTTTGGTTGAGAAATGGGAAGAAATTATAAAAACAATTGAAGCTTTTTTGAGTACTTCTCTGAATTATGACTGTCCACACCAAGCTCATCAATAGATAATTATTGTTTTTCAGAGTGACTTTTCTTTCTGAATCTGACAAAAGAAAAAGTGGTGAGATTTAGAATGGTGTGCCTAAGCACTCACAACTGTGACACTGTCTGTCAGCTACAATATTGCTTGTTTGCCATTTTCATTCTCACATTTGTTTTATCTTATTTACTGTAAATAAAATGTATTATTTTATGTCTTTTCCATTATTCAAAAGATAATTATGATGTATCTTGTTAGTTTTGGCCAATCGACTACACACCAAAATTATTTGTCTGAAACAATCGGAGGTTAATAATCAATGGTATTGCTTCTAGGAAAGTTGTAGAATATTGAAAAATCCAAGAACTAGATAAAAGGTGCACAAGTATGGTAGAAAATATGTACTTGATGGACTCGGCATGGCACAAAACATATACTTTATATTTAACTTGGAAAAGAACAACAATTGACATAATTACTTTTTACCCTGTCTAGTTTTACCTTTGAGGTTTTCCATTGCAAAACAAAAGGCTTTCATCATTGCAAAAATTGTGGAAGTTTGTCAATGTCTTGAGGAGAATAGTAGTCATAGTTACCAATTGATTAATTTCACTAGTTATTGTAACTGATTGATTTATTTCAGAACTGCTGAATTAGAGATTCATCTACGCAACAGGGGAGCCGATGCATATAAGCCTACTGAATATGGCAATACAATTATTGTTGAGAGAAAATTTACAAAAGATGGAGGAAGTGGTTATAAAATTAAGTCCAAAGATGGTAAGATTTATTAAGTCAGAATTTAAACAAAGAATAAATAATAGAGTTGATGATGGTGCTTTGCAAACCTAATTTTAGACAGCTGTGGTCCTGTGCATTAATCTCCTAAAATGCATGCAATATGTTCTACTGGACTTTAATTCTATGCTTAAAAGTAGCAAAATATTTTTTTTCAAGAACAAAAAACATGGCATAGTCAGCTGAATTCTCTATCAATTGCTACACCTGAATGTGACTACATTTCTAATGGCTTAATGTTGCTAGGTAAAATTATAAATTGTATATAGGAAGGCTTACAAGTCAATAGTTGTGCAAATTACTCCAAAGTTAGTTAATATGAAGAACCCCAAAAATGTTGTTTTTAACGGATTTACGAAGTAAAAATCGGTTATTGATTTGGGGATGTACCTCGGGCGGCTGCCAAACAGTGTCCGTGCATTTACTCATGAAATGTTGTTACTGATGACAAAATGGAGGTCAAGTTAATATTGACGATTTTCACTTTCACCGTTCAGGAGTTATGGTTCTTGAAAGATTGAAAAATGGTGTTTCCAGTCGTGTCCGTGCTGTTACTCATGAACAGTTAAGCAAAGCTTTTCAAATTTTAATATGCTGTTACTGATGACAAAATGTAGGTCAAGTTCCATATTGACGATTTCACTTTCACCGTTCAAGAGTTATGGTTCTTGAAAATTGAAAAATGGTGTTTCCAGTCGTGTCCATGCTTTAACTCTTAAACCGTTCAACCACAGCTTTTAAAATTTTAATTTGTTGTTACTGATGACAAAATGGTGGTCAAGTTCAATATTGATGATTTTCACTTCACAGTTCAAGAGTTGGGGTTCTTAAGATTGAAAAATGGTGTTTCCAATTGTGTCCGTGCTTTAACTCATGAACCGTTTAACCAAAGCTTTTCAAATATTATTATGTTGTTACTGATAACAAAAAGGAGATCAGGTTCAATATTGATGATTGTCACTATTACCGTTCAGGAGTTATGGTCCTTGTGATATTGAAAAATGCCAGGACACTAATAAATGTTAAAAAATCCAGTTTGCTGTCACTCTGACAGCCTCTTGTTAATGCTTCTTCTTGATAAAAAAAAACCTCATCATTGATATGATTAATTTGAAAATCTTTTTCAGGTAAAATTATATCATCCAAAAGAGAAGATTTGAATTGTATATTGGACCAATTTAACATACAAGTAGATAATCCGGTGTCCATTTTAAATCAGGATACAAGTCGTCACTTCCTCAATTCAAAGAGTCCTCATGATAAGTATAAGGTATAGAAAATTTATTGAAACACAAATTTCGATAATGTGCCTAAAACAATGAACAAGTATTACCAAATATTATTGAACATTAGATTAAACAGTATACAACTAAATCATCAAATAAAGAAACTCAGTAGTAGTAATATGACCTTGATGCATTATTTATTGCAAGCAAGAATATGTATCCTCAAATTTTTGTTTTACATAAAAGGAGATAGTATTTGAGCTATTCCCCAAAGCTTTAGGAGAGTGAGTTGCTAGAAGTTGTTGGTTGGGAAACACTTTATTCCCAAATTTTCTACCGTGCAAATTATATTTGAAAAAAAATTGTTTACTTCTTTAAAAAAAGACCACCTTTATATTTTGTGACTTTCCTATGCAACTCCCCAAGACTAGTCCTCTGTAATAGTTCTAATTTTCAAGTTGCATACAGGGAGGAATTTGACATGAACTTCTTGAAGTTGAAAGGTTCAGACCATCTTTGAGAATATGTTTGTTTCCCACTCCAGACCTTCCATTTTTTTCAGTGGGTCAGTAGGAAGGGTTTTTTTTCAGACTAAATTTGAATAGTACAAAAAACTGAAGACACCAGCTGGAAATATCCTTTTTCCTTGGGTACAGTTGGAAATCTTGCTAATGGAAAATATTTTTGTATAGACATTGCACAGATAACTTTGTTGTCTTTGGAAATGGTCAGTTAAATAATGACCACAGCATTTGTCTTAAATGCTATAGTCAGCCATTTACGTTTGTCAAAATTGAAGTATAGTGTTGGAAGTAAATGGGGAACAACTGCAAATTGTTATACACCACTGGAGGATTGATTAATTGATTATTGGTTTTGTAATGTCTAGTGGCAAATATTTCATGCATGTTCATAGGAAATAGGCTGTATTGCATTCACCTCATCTGTCTATTTGTCCAACAAATACTTTTGTCACAAATTTCTCCAGTAAAACGGAACAGAATGACTACTTTTTCAGCAGCTTGACCTTACTAAGATATAAGATAAGAAATTTTCTGATCTGTCGGACACCTAACACCTGTTTGCTTTAGTGAACAGTATAAGGATTTTCTGGCAATTTTCAGTGTTGGTTCCAACACTAAAAGTATATGCCCAAATTCCTCCCAAAAGTTACAGCTGCAACATTTTTAACTGGGTTTTCCAAAGAAAATACCTGTTATTAAATTGGTGAAGTATGTGGGCAGGCGTCTGCCAACAGTTTCTATGCAATTACTTGTGAATTGTTCAACCAATGCTTTTCAAATTTTAAGATGTGGAATTGTGGATACTAATAAAAAATGGAGGTCAAGTTTGATATTGACGATTTTCATTTTTACCGTTCAGGAGTTGTGGTCCTTGATATAATGGAAAATGGCATTAGTTCAATTACTCATGAACCCTTCTACCAATGGTTTCAAATTATAATATATTGTTATGGATGACAAAATGGAGGTCAAGTTCAAGATTGAGGATTTTCACTTAAAATGTTCAGGAGTTATGGTCCTTGATAGATTGAAAAATGGCACTATGTTGTTTCCGTGCAATTATTTATGAACCGTTCAACCAATGCTCTATAAATTTTGATATGCTGTTACTGATGACAAAATGATGGTCAAGTTTGATATTGACAATTTTCATTGTTGCCATTCAGGAGTTATTGGAAACCTTTTTTAATAGTTGGTTGGTTGTGACAAACTAATATATTTTTAATCTCTTGTCTAATCATTATTTTCATATGTTTGAGCATTAAATAGATTTTCTTACTTCTTAACTTTATTCCTTCAAGAATAATTCAAATATTTTGTTGGGAGTTCTTGACCTTAAAACTTGAATTAATTATGGCTAAATAACTGTAGCCTATTTACAATAGTTGCAGTTAATTCTGGCATATATAACTTTTGACCTTTTTTTATGACAGTTTTTCCTAAAGGCCACACAGCTAGAACAAATGAAGGCTGATTATCAGACAGCTGACCAACATCGAGAGGTCACTAAAGAGGTCATTGAAAAAAAGGAACAGGTAACACAAGCTTCATGAAGAAATATTTCTATCTTATTTCTTTTTTCAGCTTTTGTCTCAAAATCATAAGACTGCTTCAGTGGTCTTGTGGTAGTGTGCTCAACACCTTGAGTGAGAAGTCTTAAAAAATGGTTTTTGCTGCTTCTCTTGTAAGCACCAGCATTTAGGAGTAAGAGCAAAGAATGGTTGGCTCAGAGTCAGAATAATGTGTCCAAAAGGGGTGACATGTCTTCCTACAGACATCCCTTGTGAACTAGCGCGTTAAAAAATATGGCTCAGGGTGTCAGTCTAGTACAAAGCAGGGTTTATATCCATATCACATTATCATGTTCTCGTCCTGAATATGTATTTAATTTGCCACTGTAGGTAAACAGCCATCCATCCATCAAAATAATCAAGATGCTATTTAAAGAAAAGTCGTCAAACAGATCGCTGTTTTGTAAATAAAAACCATATAAAATACTTTTCTTAAAGGATAAGTTAATTATATTTCTATTCTGTGAAGACAAGTGCTATGAAATGCTTTTCTAAGAGGACAGGTTAATTATATTGTTATTCTGTGGAGACGAGTCTTATGAAATACTTTTCTAAGAGGACATGTTAATTGTATTGCTATTCTGTGGAGACAAGTCTTATGAAATACTTTTCTAAGAGGACAAGTTAATTATATTGCTATTCTGTGGAGACGAGTCTTATGAAATACTTTTCTAAGAGGACAAGTTAATTATATTGCTATTCTGTGAAGACAAGTCTTATGAAATACTTTTATTAGAGGGCAAGTCATTTGTTTGCTTTTCTTATAAAAAATATCATTAAATGAATTTCTTTTATTGGAAGACAAGTATTAGGGGTTCAGAGTAAATTCTAGTAGGTAGCTACAAAGTGATTAACTAATAAAACTGAAATATTGATTATAAAATTTGCACTTGCAGTGGCAAAATATAAGTAAAAATTAGCCACAATTCTGAGGATGCTGTAGCATATGCTAAATTATGCTAAAATAAAGGAAACTTTTGCTGGAGGGTTGGTGATAGCATATGAATTGCTTTTCTAGAAAGACAATGAAGTCATACACATTGTTTTTGTAGAAAGACAAAGGTGTTTTTTTGTTGTTGTTGTTGTTGGGGGGGGAGGTAGCAATCTATAGGTAGAAATACAGTCTTCAGTGATTGGCAAGCACCAATATCATATTTTTAGATCTAGATAGACTTGACATGTCATATGAATTTGCTTTCCCTTTTGAAAATCAAATCCCACAGATAACTGAGGAAAGAAAAGATTGTAAGTTTTTTTTTGGGAAGACTAAGCTATTTCTTGAAAGACAATTTATATGGTTTCTTGGCAAATTAATTGTTTTTTTGGAAATGAAATGTCAAATGGATTACTTTTTAGAAATACAAATTACGGATTTTTTCCTTGGAGACAATTAATATGTATTACTTTCTTTGGAAGACAATTCACCTGAAATGCCTATCCTTGTTAGATGAGTTACATAAATTGCATTTCTATGAGAAATGATGATGACTTCCATACAAAAGCCTTAAAAAAATAGTGATATTACTCAGTAGCTACAAATAATTATTGGACTTGTATATTGTAGATGCTTCCTAAATTAGAGAAAGAAGTTTTAGAATGGGAGCAGAAGTTCAAGTCTCTGACCGCAATAGATGATTTAAAGAGGAAAATTGATAGATTGAAAGAAGATATGGCTTGGGCTTTTGTTATTGAAAAAGAGAAGGTAAAAACTAAAGAAAGGTTTGTCGTTTTTATGCCCCCGCCGCAGCGGTGGGGGCATTAAGTTTTACCCTTATCCGTCTGTACGTACGTCCCAAAATTGGTTTCCGTTCTCTAACTTGAGTTTGCCTCAACCAAATGTTATGAAACTTATACACAGTGCTTATTACCACAAAACACAGATCAAGTTTGAATTTTGGTGGCGTCACTTTAACCGTTCTAGAGTTATGCTCCTTTATAAATTGAAAAATTGCAAAATTTTTAGTTTCCGTTCTTTAACTTAAGTTTGCCTCAACCAAATGTTATGAAACTTATACACAATGCTTATTACCACAAAACACAGATTAATTTTGAATTTTGGTGGTGTCACTTTAACCGTTCTAGAGTTATGCCCCTTTATAAATGGAAAAATTGCAAAATTTTTAGTTTCCATTCTCGAACTTAAGTTTGCCTCAACCAAATGTTATGAAACTTATACACAATGCTTATTACCACAAAACTAAGATCAAGTACAAATTTTTTGTTTCCGTTTTCTAACTTTAGTTTGCCTCGACCAAATGTTATGAAACTTATACACAATGCTTATTACTACAAAATACTGATTAAGTACGAAATTTGGTGGCGACACTTTTACCATTCTTGAGTTATGTCCCTTTATAAACATAAAAATTTCAGAATTTTTCGTTGCCGTTCTCTAACTTTAGTTTGTCTCAACCAAATGTTATAAAACTTATACACAATCGTTTAGAGTTATGCGTGTTTACAAATAGAAAAATTGCTGAATTTTTAGTTTCTGTTCTCTACTTAAGTTAGCCTCAACCAAATGTTATGAGACTTACACACAATGCTTATTACCACAAAACTCAGATCAAATTCAAATTTGGGCAGCGTCACTTTTACTGTTCTTCAGTTATGTCCCTTTATAACTATATGATATGCAAGCGGGGGCATCATCTGTGTCCACATGTGGACACTATCCACATTTATTTAGAATAATTGTAAAAATTTTGATCCATTTCAAGCTGTAGCTACCAAAGTATATTAAGTAAGGGGTAAATTAGCTATCAGTTTAATAACCATTATATTTTTTTAAAGGCCCATTATGAAATGACGCTGAAAGTCTATCAACCTTAACTATTTTAAACTGTTGGAATGGTAATGAAGTAAACAATATGATTTATGTAAAATTTCTCCTGAAATTATAAGGTCTGGGTGCAAATGAAAAAATTAAGGACTTCTATCTGTCAGTGCATATAGTATTAATTAAGAAAATAGAAGTATTCAGTACAGTACAATACATCAGTGGAAACTGTTTTTTATGCCCAGCCTACGATAGTAGAGGGGTATTATGTTTTCCTGTCTGCGTTGGTCTGTCATTATGTTCATTATGAGGTGAACTGTTTATTGTATATGCTATTGGTTTTGACCAAGATTTAACATTTCACTGAATTGGGAAATGTAATAGGTTAAAGTTTATGTTTATGGTAGGTTAAAGTTTATGTTTATGGTAGGTTAAAGTTTATGTTTATGGTAGGTTAAAGTTTATGTTTATAAGTAAAGTTTACAAAGCAGATTGTGATCATATCAACTTGAGCTTAATACACATGTTCATTATGAAGTGAACTGTTTAATATGCATGCCAAATTAGGGTTTTCACCCCAAGATTTCACAGTTCACAGAACAAGGAAATGTAATAGTTTGAGTGGTGTATGGTGTCATATGGACACATATTCTTGTTTTAAGAAAGTGTTGATAGTAATTGAAACTTCATATGTATTTGTTAAAATTGAAACAGTATTGAATGTATGAACTCTTTTAATTACATTTTAGGGATTGCAACCTTTGGTTAGAGAGCATGATTCAGAAAAAGCTAGAATGCCCAGATTTGAACAGAAAGTTGAGGAAGCAAAGGTAATACTGAATGATGCATGCAAGGATAATATCTTCAGCTGTATTATTTTGATATTTAACATACATAAAACCTTTCAAATACAGTTGACCAAAGAAATATACAAAAGAGGGTGTGAATGAGGTACCCTATATGACAGTTTACAGTAAAATATTGTTTAAAATAATGTTCATAATAAATTTTTTACTCTGTTTGATGCAAACAGTAAACAGTAGCTACAAAAATGTATTTAGACGCATGTCTATAAAAATATTTTAGGCTCATTTAATGTGAATAGAGGCCATATGAGCTTCTTGATAAACACCATCCCTACCCTTACAGAAGATATTATATAGTTGATGAAAATTAATCAGAAACAACAAATTTTTAGTTTGCCTAAACAATTTGTCTGGGGACTAAACGAGTACCCCGTTCCAGTTCTGAAAAGCAGAAGGACATACAGTATTATAATTGACTGAAGATGCATTTTGGATAGACTGACAATACATATGCCATAAGATTAAACTTAAATGACTGTGGTTTTAAGTTTTGAAGCTTTTAACTTATTTGAAGTTTTTTTCATCAGAATCAACTATGATCTTTATTCTTAACCTTCAGTATGAAGTTTTACACCTGAATTCTGATCTCAGACGCTAAGTGGTCTACAGAAATGTAACTTTGTTTAAGGATGCACCCACAGGAGTTATGCATGATTCAATGAAAAAAGGCACTTTTACCTATATTTTATGCTTAATTGACATACATAATTTTATGTTTGAGTTCATTTTTTATGTAGTAAGTTCCCTTCAATCATATACATTTTTGAATGATGAATTTTGAAGCTTTCCAGGAAAAGAGTGTCACTCTGGTGTATATATTTCAATTGATTGATTCATATTACTTGTATCTTTCAAGTTCAATTTTCATATACCTTCTTTCAGTCCTATTAGCACTGAAAGTCATTTTTACTTCATATTTGTTTTATTAATATAAAGACCATTTAGGAATAAGACTAACTTTATAATTGAAAGTAAACAATGTTTTTAAGTTTGATTATGATCTGACAAATTGCAGAGAGAAATATCAAATTGAAATTCAAGTGTTTCTCACATTTTGTTATCCTAGGCCTTATATTGCTTACAATGCTGTATGGGTTTTGTTTAATGTTGAAGGTAGTACAGTGACCTGTAGTTGTTTACAATCTTGTTTTTGATGGATAGCTATCTCATTACCAATCATACCACATCTTCCTATTGAATAAATAAATGAATCTTTATTGCAAAAGCATAAACATGCTATGGCAAAAATAACAACACATATTACATAATATGAAACATGGATAGACAGCAGAGAACAATAGTAAAATATTATTATAAATGTAAAATATTGTTTAATATAATATTTAGAAAGCTATAAAAGCAGTCATTGTGTGTTACAGTAATTGGGTTATAATTTTTTGCAGGAAAATGTGAACAAATATGTTAACCAACAGAAGTGCATTCAGGAGCAGTTAAAGGCAGCTAGTGAAGATGTTTCACTGCTCCGACCCAAATATGAAGAATTAAAAGAAGTTCTTGGGCAAAAGAAAAAGTTTGCACGAAATTCTTTGGTTAGTTAATAGATTAATCTTGTTCTCAAAGGATAAGAAGCTAAGCAATAATTCCACATTCTTTGTCTTTTAATGTTAAAACCATTGGCACTATAGACAAAACAACATTGTTTTTGTTTAATGTCCTTTTTGTCGAGCCTTCGACTTTTGTCGAAAAAGCGAGACATAGCGATCCTACATTCCGTCGGTGGTGGCGGCGTCCACAAATATTCACTCTGTGGTTAAAGTTTTTCAAATTTTAATAACTTTCTTAAACTATCCTGGATTTCTACCAAACTTGGACAGAAGCTTGTTTATGATCATAAGATAATATTAAAAAGTAAATTTTGTAAAAAAAAAATTCCATTTTTTCCGTATTTTACTTATAAATGGACTTAGTTTTTCTGCCAGGAAACATTACATTCACTCTGTGGTTAAAGTTTTTCAAATTTTAATAACTTTCTTAAACTATCCTGGATTTGTACCAAACTTGGAAAGAAGCTTGTTTATGATCATAAGATACATGTAGTATCCAGAAGTAAATTTTGTAAAAAAAAAATTCCAGTTTTTCCGTATTTTACTTATAAATGGACTTAGTTTTTCTGACAGTTAGCATTACATTCACTCTGTGGTTAAAGTTTTTTCAAATTTTAATAACTTTCTTAAACTATCCTGGATTTGTACCAAACTTGGACAGAAGCTTGTTTATGATTAAAAGCTAGTATCTACAAGGAAATTTTGTTAAAATTTTGTTCCCTTTTTTCCGTATTTTACTTATAAATGGACTTAGTTTTTAAAGGCAGTGCTTTAATGCCTTTCTAGTTGCCGGGTTAATCCTTCCTTCCGCGATATTCAACTTATCTACGTGGGGGGTCATTAGGCTCCAAGTAGATCCGGAAATGTTGAATTCTCTCCTCTTCTTATTGCGATATAAAATGTTTTTTGTTTCATTTCATTTACATTGGGAAATAGAGAAACGATCATTGTGTTTTGTTAGTTTTAAAAACTTTTGATATATTAGTATTTTGCATTATAAGCAGTCAACCGATTGACAAACTAGAATTATTTGAATTCCGTGTGGAAAGAGCTCGGGTTAATTTCGAGTGTTATCTGCAATCTAGATGTTTACAAATCATTTCAGTCGTTGATATAATAATTAAAGGTCGACTGAACATGAATTATATTATACAATTTAAAGCGCATTTCTGTTTATGCACGTGAACCCGTCTAACGTTATTGTAATTTCGCAGTTATATTAAGTAGCAAATTATCGTTCCTGAATAGGTGGCGCCGTGGTAGCGGATCCTGTTCCTCTACTTCCGCTTTCTGCACTGTGCAACTATTTCAGTTATATTTTTAATTAACGATGCCAAGTACTTGTTGTTGTGTACCTGGATGTCATTTAAGAGGAGGACATGCATTTCCAAATGACGTAAAAAGAAGGAAAAGTTGGATCAACGCCATGGCCCATACGCAGATTGGACGAGAACACGATGATATCGTGGAGTCCATCTCAATCAGCTGTTGTTTGCAAGGCACGTTTTACTGAAAAGACTACGTGCAGGAAACTATTCATGGTAAAACTCTATTTTCTTTGTGAAATATATAGTTATATATGTAATCGCCATGCGAATAAACCAAAGTCTGTTTACAACCGCAATTATCGTTTTAGAATAAAAGGGGGTGGGTAATTCAAGACGTCATAATTTTTTGGATTACGATTCAATGTGATCTGTTTGAGATTTTTTGGTGATTGCTACAATTATAATGATTTCTTACAAGAGGTATATCATACTGAGAATTATTTTAGCAGTAATTATGCTAATGTAGTAATGACAGGAATGCATAAGCTATGCCTCATAGACTTTCTTGAAAAATATCAATGACAATGTTAACAGGAACAAAACAATGACATGCTCTCATCTATATTATAGTTATTTAGGTACAAACAATGTACGTTTGTTGCATAAGTCGCTCATTGTTTGTCCTTTGGATTTACATAACATACATTGAATCAGGCAAACATAGTTTTATCCAGATTGTAATGAATAAATCTAGTTAATATTTCGCCAGGTAGTACAAAGTATACATTGCTAATGGAAGTTCATTTAATTATAAAAAAACTAATGTTTTATAACCTTTTTCAGGGCGCAAACCCACCATACAGAGACTTAAGTCTACTGCCATACCCAGCCTATTTTCCTGGACCAAGCAAGAGACTGAATCGTCCGCAAAAAGAAAAATCAGGGCAGTTTCCTGTGAAAACAAAAGAACTAAACTTGATGAATATTGTAGTAGAAATCTAGAGGAAAGTTTTGATTGTAAAGTTGGTTTTCCTGAAGAAGCCATTCATACTGCAGAAAGGATTTATGACTGTCCACCACCAACTGCCGAGCTAATGTTGAGCTTCACAGATGGAATTATGCAAACACCATCAATGCCTATGTTTTCAGCAGAGAATTTTGAAATGAAGACATGTGACACAGCCATGCATTTTTATACCGGTTTAGAGTTGTATACTAAATTTTTATTTGTTTTGACCACACTTGGTCCAGCAGCACATTGTTTGAGATACATATATTTTCAAATTGATAGGGTGTCAGTTGAAAATCAGTTTCTTTATGACTTTGATGAAATTGAGGCATCATACAACCAACTTTGAACTGTCTAGATTCTAGATTGAATCTAGTGTTAAGAATATTGTGTATACATGGATTGTTTTTATGTCTAAACAGTGGTGTGAGGCTAACACTTGGCCATCTAGTGGTTTAGTCAGGTATTTTTCACCATCCAACTTCAAATTAAAGTTTCCTACGACTTTGATTATTATTGACAGCACAGAATATCCCGTGATATAACCTAAAGCTCCTAGAGCTCAGGCAACCTTTTCATCAAATAAAAACAGAAACACTGAAAATTCTTGAATGTTCGACACCTGGTGGTTTAGTCAACTATGTCTCTATGTCACATAGAGCGAATTATTGGACTTGGCAAAACATACAAAATTCTAATAAATCCTATGAATGGAACTGAAACAAAACTTTCATCTGAAATAACATTTAGTTGTTTTATGTTGTGTAATTTTAGAACTTGTATTGTGCCAAAGGATGCATAAATAAAAGTGACGCAATGAATTTTGTTCTGATATATATATATTTACAATTACATGCACATGTAAATTGTAATGCATATATAAAAATAAGGAGATGTGGTATGATATTCAGTGAGTTTATCAAACTAAAGTGCATAAGAAATGGGTTTAAGCAGTTACAGGTGTTACTGTCACCGTACAATCTCCAACAATGAGAAAAACTCGTACCCTGTAAAAAATTTCAGAGATCTTACAACTAAGTTTTGTTGTCTCACCTTGACTTTGGTGAATTTTTTATATCTGTTGATGTAAATATAAAAAAGAAGATGTGGTATGATTGCCAATGAGACAACTCTCCACACATGCACAAGAGACCAAATGACACAGAAATTAACAGCTATAGGTCACAGTATGGCCTTCAACAATGAGCAAAGCCCATACGGCACAGTCAGCTATAAAAGGCCCAGAAATGACAATGTAAAACAATTCAAACAAGAAAATTAACGGCCTATTTTATGTAAAAAAATGAACGAATATAACAAATATGCAACACATAAACAAACGACAACCACTGAATTACACTTTTATAGGCTCCTGACTTGGGACAGGCACATACATGTACATACAGAATGTGGCGGGCTTAAACATGTTAGCGGGATCCCAACCCTCCCCCTAACCTGGGACAGTGGTGTAACAGTACAATTTAAGAAAGAACTATAAAAATCAGTTGAAAGAGGCTAAACTCATCAGATGGATAAATACAAATACAAGTGGACGTGGTCGGGTAGTTGTACATCCAAACAACAAAAAGACACTAAGTACAGATCTGAGAGTACTCGCAGTTACTGACAGCTAGTTCAATGCCACTAACAACTGATAAAAAAATCTTGCATCTAAGACTAAATTATCAATCCTAAAGCTCCCTTTAGAATTTTATAAATTTTAGATTTTACATTTCTGAGTTATGGGGTTTTATTCATTAAAAAAGGGGGGATTTTCCAGTTTTTGATCAACAACTCAAAAATGCTTTAAGCAGTTCACATGAAACTTTGGTGAATTATTTATAGCTATTGATGTAATCTCCCTATTGATTTTCATAAATTTCAAATATGACATTGAGAAGAAATTGAACTTTATTTGTTTATAGTCTGGCAACAGATTTATTAAGTATTGCACAACAGCACAGTGTATTGCACAACAGCAAGAAGACTTTAATTGAATATAAATTCAATTCATATAACCGATTTCAAGTTCATTGACTACATTTATTCAGAAACTATAATATGTCAAATATTTAATGACAATCCAAATTCAGACCTGTATCAAGCTTGAATATTGTGTCCATTTTTGCCCCAGCTGTTCAGGGTAGTACCTCTGCGGGTGTATCCAGCTGCGCTCAGCGAATCAGTTTATTTCTTAATTAAGAACTCCTTTTTTCATTCATAAATTACTTTATGCTTGGAAATATAATTTTGCTTGGAGTTGAAAGAGTTGACATGTTGCAATGTACATTTACTCTACATAGTTCTATGGTACCAAATCAAAAGTTTATATAAAGAAAGAAGTCAAAGGTTTCCCATCATAGTTTAGTTACATACATTTTTTTTGTACCTGAGGTCGTTGAATATAGATCATTATATAAATAAGGAGATGTGTTATGATTGCCAATGAAAAAACTAAGGATTTTCTTATCCAAGGAATAGATTACCTTAGCCATATTTGGCACAACTTTTTGGAATTTTGGGTCCTCAATGCTCTTCAACTTTGTACTTGTTTGGCTTTGTTACTATTTTGATCTGAACGTCACTGATGAGTCTTATGTAGACGAAACACACGTCTGGCGTATTAAATTATAATCCTGGTACCTTTGATAACTAATTTGACTATAAACATAGATTAAAAAAGGTACAAACTGGACATAATGCACTAGTTCATAAACAAGTGAGAACAATCGCCTTCATATAGTGCTCAGAATATGACATTCATAAAACTTGTTCAATATCATTAGAGAACTCTAAATCTTAAATACTGAAAGCCACCTCTGATAAGTACACTGTACTATGCAAGATAATGATATAACTGGACTTAAAATACACACAACCTGTAATTAACTGCCTTTACAGCGCTTTCGTGCTTTGATTCTTCCAGTTAACATTACATACAATCTGCAGTTTAAGTTTTTAAAACATTTATTAGATTCATAAACTATCCTGGATTTTTACCATACTTGGACAGAAGCTACTTACAATCTAAAGATAGTATAGAGAGGAATATTTTTATTAATTTTTTTCCTCATTTTTGTTGAGCCTGCGATTAACAGCAAAAGTAGGCAAGACACTGGGTTCCGCGGAACCCTTACGAATTTTTCTATTAGATTTCCCATGGGGCATCATTAGATTAAAGTCAATTTTTCACATATCACACACTTACTCCAATGTCTTGTTTTTATATCCTTCAAACTCTACACTCTTGTTGTCATTGACCAAAAAAAGCTCCCTTTTGATTTGGAACATTTTCTGGTGTGTCATTCAAGAGTTACAGGACTTAAATTGTCATATGTAAATAAAATTTCGTATTATAACTAGAGTATGCTTGGATTGCTAACTTGAAACTTATTTAGCAGTTGGAATTGTTGATAGAGTCAATTTGGAAATGTTTGTATTCTAGAGTTATTGAACTATTAAATGTCCTATTTGATGCAGAATATATATGCCTAAAGATATCCACATGCAATTTTTCTACAGAGCCATTTACTAACTTCTGATTAGATGCTTTTGTAATATTCCATTTATTCTCAGAACAATTTAAATATGCACAAAATGGTGTATCATGCACTCTTGGTGTAGCTGTTAATTAAATTAGAAGAAACAGAGACAAGTTTTAGATGACAGATATTATCCCACTTCTCATTTCATTCACTTTAGTTATAATAGATTAGGTTGTTATTGCCTTTCTAGCACTTCAGACCTTTGAATTGACCACAGAAAAAGATAGATTTTTTTTAACTGAGTAAACACAACTTATGTTAAATGAATATCATTTGCAATGCATATAATTGAGTATATATGTTGAATTCAGGATGATTTTAAAAGAGTAGAAAATACATTGAAGAAGAATTTGAGGGAAAAATGTGCTTTGGAGGCTAGGATCAAAGAATTACAGAAAAGGTAATAAACCAGTGACTTTTACTGAGATATAAATTGTAAAAAGTTGAGAACATCAGTTAATCTAGCCCTAAAGTCCAGTGTGATGTTCTATAATTACTTTTATTTCTTAACTGACAAATTCTTTAGAATGATAGTATACCCTCCATACGAAGTCGAAGGGGACTTTAGGTTTGCACTCCGTCCGTCCGTCTGTCTGTCTGTCTGTCTGTTCTGTTCTGTTCTGTTCTGTTCTGTTCTGTTCTAGTCTGTCTGTCTGTCTGTCTGTCTGTCTGTCCGTCAGTCCAGAAAATCAGTTTTCCACACTTTTTTTCTTCGTGCTTGAAGATTTTGATTTAATATTTGGTGTATTGTTTTATCATGACAAGTTACAGATCAATATTGAATTTTGTTCCAGTCTGATGATTTTGTGCAGAGTTATGGTCCTTGGACTTAGAAATTCACTCAAATAATCAGTTTTCCACACTTTTTTTCGTCATGCTTGAAGATATTGATTTGATAATTGGTATATAGTTTTATCATGACAAGTTACAGATCGAGTTCGAATTTTGTTCCAGTCTGATGATTTTGTGCAGAGTTATGGTTCTTGGACTTAGAAAATTCACTCAAATAATCAGTTTTCCGCACATTTTTTCATCATGCTTGAAGATATTGATTTGATAATTGGTATATAGTTTTCTCATGACAAGTTACAGATCAAGTTTGAATTTTGTTCCCGTCTGATGATTTTGTGCAGATTTATGGTCCTTGGACTTAAAAAAGTCACTTAAATAATCAGTTTTCCACACTATTTTTTCTACATGCTTGAAGATATTGACTTGATATTTGTTATATAGTTTACACCATGACAAGTTATAGATCAAGTTAGCATTTTGTTCCAGTAAAATGAATTTTTAACCGGTAGGTGACTATGTATTGCCATGCAATACTCTTTCAGAATGCTTGTTGGATTATGATTAGCAGGATGAGGCTCATTTGAAGAACCATAATATTGTTTTTCGAATGGGTTTCATAAGGTGTTTACTGCCTTTTGTTGGCTAGATTTAATAGTTGTTTATGGCAAAGAATTTTGTTATGTTATTTCAGTTGTATTCTTGGGTGAACATCACATACCACCTCGGAAATTTTTCATGGTATTGTGTATTGCCTAGAGTGCGAAAGGTCTTTTAATGAAGTGCATCACCTAGAATGCAAAAGGTCATGGGTTCTACCCCAGACTGAGTCAAACCAAAGACTTTAAAATTGGTATTTGCAGCGTTTCTGATAAACATCGAGCATTAAGCAGTAAGAGCAAAAAATGGTTGGTTATGAGTCAGAATAATGTGTCTGGGTAGGGTAACATGTCTTCATACTGGTTGTAATCTTGTGAACTAGCACCTTTAAAATCAGGTTCAACATATTAGTCTAGTTCAAGGAAAAGTTCATATATATATCGCATTAGAATATGCATTTAATATTTGCCACTGGTAGACTTTAAACACCATTTTATCATCATCATCAACTAATTCTTAACATGACCTGAATAATACAAGATTCAAGAAAAATTATTTTACCCCATCCTCTTATGGGCCATCAAGATTTACCAAGTGAGCCCCATGGTAAACATAGCACATGGACATTGGTTATACACGATTAGCAGTTTAGGCCCTCTGAATTTGATTTGATACATATAAAATATTTTTAGGTCAAAAGTTAAGTATGGTATCTGTGATTTTTTTGTTTTTGATAAGAAGTGTTAACATGTTTCAGTGCCCAGCATGATTATGAAGCTGAGAGGAGAGGTAGAGAAGAAAAAATTGAAAAGCTAATGGAACAAATCAAAGGATTGCAAGCTCAACAGCACACAACAGAACATCAGAATGAACAATTCAGAAGTGCTGTCACTAAGTACAAAGCTGATATGTATGAAATCAAGTAGGTATATTTATTTATGTGGTTTATACCAATTTTAGTTAATTGAGGAGTAATTTTATTTTTGTGTATACTTGAATGATGGTTTTGACCAATTTTGCATGTAAGCCTATAGAAAAAATGGTATTTTGATGAATACTTGAACTAGTGTTTCATCTATACCCACAAAATTTAAGAAAATTGTTCTCCATGAATAAAATGAATTTAAAGTAAATTGTTATCATCTAAGGCTTATTATTTTACATCACATCATTTGTATATATGTTGTGACCAGGTAAGTTTTATTGACAGACATGAAAAGTAGTATATATTGAATAGAGCTCTTTTTAGAAAGAAATCGGGGAGCAAATTTTACAGATAGAATAATTTGCAAGGTAATTTCAACCCAAGAGAATACAATCAAGTTAATTTTAAAACAAAACAGTGAAATGAATATTTATTATAAAATGAAGTAATTTAACCTGTCTTTGTATAAATCAGTAATTTAAAAATGTTTAAATGTTCATTAAATGTTGATATGAAAATTGTGTATGTTACAAAAATGTTCAAAATGGACCACTTGATAGAAGCTTGCCAATTGATTTACTCATTCTTGGAACTAGCAACTTTATATTTAGTCAGTAGAACTGTTTTATATAACTGCATGTAATACATTGACAATATTATACCTGTCCTTGTCCTTACAACAGCCAAGCATGTAATACATTAACAATATTATACTTGTCCCTGTCCTTACAACAGCCAAGCATGTAATACATTAACAATATTATACTTGTCCTTGTCCTTACAACAGCCAAGCATGTAATACATTAACAATATTATACCTGTCCTTGTCCTTACAACAGCCAAGCATGTAATACATTAACAATATTATACTTGTCCCTGTCCTTACAACAGCCAAGCATGTAATACATTAACAATATTATACTTGTCCCTGTCCTTACAACAGCCAAGCATGTAATACATTAACAATATTATACTTGTCCCTGTCCTTACAACAGCCAAGCATGTAATACATTAACAATATTATACTTGTCCCTGTCCTTACAACAGCCAAGCATGTAATACATTAACAATATTATGCTTGTCCCTGTCCTTACAACAGCCAAGCATGTAATACATTAACAATATTATACCTGTCCTTGTCCTTACAACAGCCAAGCATGTAATACATTAACAATATTATACTTGTCCTTGTCCCTGTCCTTACAACAGCCAAGCATGTAATACATTAACAATATTATACTTGTCCCTGTCCTTACAACAGCCAAGCATGTAATACATTAACAATATTATACCTGTCCTTGTCCTTTCAACAGCCAAGCATGTAATACATTAACAATATTATACTTGTCCTTGTCCTTACAACAGCCAAGCATGTAATACATTAACAATATTATACTTGTCCCTGTCCGTACAACAGCCAAGCATGTAATACATTAGCAATATTATACTTGTCCTTGTCCTTGTCCTTTCAACAGCCAAGCATGTAATACATTAACAATATTATACTTGTCCTTTCAACAGCCAAGCATGTAATACATTAACAATATTATACTTGTCCTTGTCCTTACAACAGCCAAGCATGTAATACATTAACAATATTATACTTGTCCCTGTCCTTACAACAGCCAAGCATGTAATACATTAACAATATTATACCTGTCCTTGTCCTTTCAACAGCCAAGCATGTAATACATTAACAATATTATACCTGTCCTGGTCCTTACAACAGCCAAGCATGTAATACATTAACAATATTATACTTGTCCTTGTCCTTTCAACAGCCAAGCATGTAATACATTAACAATATTATACTTGTCCCTGTCCTTACAACAGCCAAGCATGTAATACATTAACAATATTATACTTGTCCTTGTCCTTACAACAGCCAAGCATGTAATACATTAACAATATTATACTTGTCCCTGTCCGTACAACAGCCAAGCATGTAATACATTAACAATATTATACTTGTCCTTGTCCTTACAACAGCCAAGCATGTAATACATTAACAATATTATACTTGTCCCTGTCCTTTCAACAGCCAAGCATGTAATACATTAACAATATTATACTTGTCCTTGTCCTTACAACAGCCAAGCATGTAATACATTAACAATATTATACTTGTCCCTGTCCTTACAACAGCCAAGCATGTAATACATTAACAATATTATACCTGTCCTTGTCCTTTCAACAGCCAAGCATGTAATACATTAACAATATTATACCTGTCCTGGTCCTTACAACAGCCAAGCATGTAATACATTAACAATATTATACTTGTCCTTGTCCTTTCAACAGCCAAGCATGTAATACATTAACAATATTATACTTGTCCCTGTCCTTACAACAGCCAAGCATGTAATACATTAACAATATAATACTTGTCCTTGTCCTTACAACAGCCAAGCATGTAATACATTAACAATATTATACTTGTCCCTGTCTGTACAACAGCCAAGCATGTAATACATTAACAATATTATACTTGTCCTTGTCCATTCAACAGCCAAGCATGTAATACATTAACAATATTATACTTGTCCTTGTCCTTACAACAGCCAAGCATGTAATACATTAACAATATTATACTTGTCCCTGTCCTTACAACAGCCAAGCATGTAATACATTAACAATATTATACCTGTCCTTGTCCTTACAACAGCCAAGCATGTAATACATTAACAATATTATACTTGTCCTTGTCCTTGTCCTTTCAACAGCCAAGCATGTAATACATTAACAATATTATACTTGTCCCTGTCCTTACAACAGCCAAGCATGTAATACATTAACAATATTATACTTGTCCCTGTCCTTACAACAGCCAAGCATGTAATACATTAACAATATTATACTTGTCCTTGTCCTTACAACAGCCAAGCATGTAATACATTAACAATATTATACTTGTCCCTGTCCTTACAACAGCCAAGCATGTAATACATTAACAATATTATACTTGTCCTTGTCCTTACAACAGCCAAGCATGTAATACATTAACAATATTATACTTGTCCCTGTCCTTACAACAGCCAAGCATGTAATACATTAACAATATTATACTTGTCCTTGTCCCTGTCCTTACAACAGCCAAGCATGTAATACATTAACAATATTATACCTGTCCTTGTCCTTACAACAGCCAAGCATGTAATACATTAACAATATTATACTTGTCCTTGTCCTTACAACAGCCAAGCATGTAATACATTAACAATATTATACTTGTCCCTGTCCTTACAACAGCCAAGCATGTAATACATTAACAATATTATACTTGTCCCTGTCCTTACAACAGCCAAGCATGTAATACATTAACAATATTATACCTGTCCTTGTCCGTACAACAGCCAAGCATGTAATACATTAACAATATTATACTTGTCCTTGTCCTTACAACAGCCAAGCATGTAATACATTAACAATATTATACCTGTCCTTGTCCTTTCAACAGCCAAGCATGTAATACATTGACAATATTATACTTGTCCTTGTCCGTACAACAGCCAAGCATGTAATACATTAACAATATTATACTTGTCCTTGTCCTTTCAACAGCCAATCATGTAATACATTAACAATATTATACTTGTCCTTGTCCATTCAACAGCCAAGCATGTAATACATTAACAATATTATACTTGTCCTTGTCCGTACAACAGCCAAGCATGTAATACATTAACAATATTATACTTGTCCTTGTCCTTACAACAGCCAAGCATGTAATACATTAACAATATTATACTTGTCCCTGTCCTTACAACAGCCAAGCATGTAATACATTAACAATATTATACCTGTCCTTGTCCTTTCAACAGCCAAGCATGTAATACATTAACAATATTATACTTGTCCCTGTCCTTACAACAGCCAAGCATGTAATACATTAACAATATTATACCTGTCCTTGTCCTTTCAACAGCCAAGCATGTAATACATTAACAATATTATACTTGTCCTTGTCCTTACAACAGCCAAGCATGTAATACATTAACAATATTATACTTGTCCCTGTCCGTACAACAGCCAAGCATGTAATACATTAACAATATTATACTTGTCTTTGTCCTTGTCCTTTCAACAGCCAAGCATGTAATACATTAACAATATTATACTTGTCCTTTCAACAGCCAAGCATGTAATACATTAACAATATTATACTTGTCCTTGTCCTTTCAACAGCCAAGCATGTAATACATTAACAATATTATACTTGTCCCTGTCCTTACAACAGCCAAGCATGTAATACATTAACAATATTATACTTGTCCTTGTCCTTACAACAGCCAAGCATGTAATACATTAACAATATTATACTTGTCCTTGTCCTTTCAACAGCCAAGCATGTAATACATTAACAATATTATACCTGTCCTTGTCCTTTCAACAGCCAAGCATGTAATACATTAACAATATTATACTTGTCCTTGTCCTTACAACAGCCAAGCATGTAATACATTAACAATATTATACTTGTCCCTGTCCTTACAACAGCCAAGCATGTAATGCATAAACAATATTATACCTGTCCTTGTCCTTACAACAGCCAAGCATGTAATACATTAACAATATTATACTTGTCCTTGTCCTTGTCCTTTCAACAGCCAAGCATGTAATACATTAACAATATTATACTTGTCCCTGTCCTTACAACAGCCAAGCATGTAATACATTAACAATATTATACTTGTCCCTGTCCTTACAACAGCCAAGCATGTAATACATTAACAATATTATACTTGTCCTTGTCCTTACAACAGCCAAGCATGTAATACATTAACAATATTATACTTGTCCCTGTCCTTACAACAGCCAAGCATGTAATACATTAACAATATTATACTTGTCCTTGTCCTTACAACAGCCAAGCATGTAATACATTAACAATATTATACTTGTCCCTGTCCTTACAACAGCCAAGCATGTAATACATTAACAATATTATACTTGTCCTTTCAACAGCCAAGCATGTAATACATTAACAATATTATACT